AGCAACTTAAAACCAGCGTGGTGTGCTTCGAGGCTTAATAAATACAAGCCATAAATTGTTTGAATGTAACTGTTTCAGCCTTTAGGGGCCAGTGACTACCTGGAAATGTCCAGGCTGTTTGACACCATCTTTATTCGGCACATTCCTCTGCTGACGCTGAACAAGAAAACTCAAGCCAGGCGGCTCATAACGCTGGTGGATGCCCTCTACGACCACAAGGTACGCCGCTGTTATCTGCTCCTACACTTAAACACCAAACGGTAGCTTTTTATTGTTTGGGACTTTTATAACTATATCCTCCTGTTTCAGGTGCGGGTGGTGATTCTTGCAGATCATCCGCTGGAGGATATTTTCGTACAGGATGGCGATCACAGTCACGACGAGAGCCACATTCTGATGGACGATCTGGGGCTGAAAAGGGTGAGAGCTCCGACTCTGTTTTCACAGTTAAACCTGTTTTTCATGTTGGGCGTGTACGGTCGTAAATGTAGATAATTAAACTGTCGGTGTATGAAGCTAAAAAACACACAGCTCAGAGTGAGCCAGTCCACTTTGTTGTATGCACTGAAAACTCCTTTTAACCAGTAAGTCAGTCTGTTAGTGAGTATTCATTTCTTTTAAATCAAGTAAAGCAATAAATAACTTAAAGTTAATACCTCTGCCAAAGAATGCACAATCCTCTAAATGTATTCCTTTAATAATAGAAAATCATCAGTAATTTTTGGATTGCATTAAAGTAAATACAGTGATAAATTGTTGTGGGTCAGATTGTTTAAAGTAAGTGCATTACTCTGGATCCACAGATTTTCCTTTCAACCTAATTTTTTTCAAATCTCTTAACAGGTTTTTGAGATGTTCTGCTAAATAACTCACAAACTACTCAAAACAAACTCAAATTGCCTTATTCTGATTTGTTTCTTTGTTTTTTAGAAACAAATTCTGAATCCTCAGGAACTGCAGTGTTAAATCATTTCACACCATCTCTCTCAGATGCATTTCCTGTTTTCGAATAAAAACTATCTTTTGAGGTTCCGATCACAGATTTATAGCTTAAGTTCCCCAACTTTATGTTAAATTTACATTTATAAAAAAATACAGATAAAATTGAATATTGAGGGTCTCCCCCTGGCTTAAGGGTTAACATGCTGACTGCAACACCTCCAGTTCAATTCCACCCTCTGTTGCATCTCTCCCTCCTTCATCTTTCAGTTCAGAATATGAAATTGACTGAACCTAAAAAATAAATAAATCAAAGCATAAAGACAAAATCATAAAACATATTAAATGTAAGCAGAGGTGGCAAAAGAACACATTGTTTACTCAAGTAGAGAAAAATGACTCTGGTAAAAGTAGAACAACTGAATGAACTTCTTTACTCAAGTAAAAGTGAAAAAATACAGACTCTCAAATGTACTCAAAGTATAAAAGTACTCTCTTGGTTTCTCTGAAGGTAATTTCTACCGGCTGTTTCTCTGCAAAGTTAACTGAAACTTTAAATAGGTTTGAGTTTCCCTCTCGTCTGTTTTCACTTTGTCTGTCGTGTGTGATACTCACTGTTCTTGATGTGCAGAAGAATAATAAATGAATAATTCCCCTCAAATGCTTGTCAATGTTTCTGAAAATGTAAGGAGTAAAAAGTACCGATATTTGTGTAAAAATGGGTAAAAGTAAAAAGTTGTCAGAAAAATAAAAACTCAGGTACAGACGCCTGAAGAAACGTACAGTGATTAAGTATTTGCACTTTGTTACTTCTCAGCCCTAAAATGTGTGCAATAAAGGAAAGATCTGTTAAAAGATATGAAGATTTTAGATGATCTTTAGTACAGACTAAGGAATTAAGACTGATGCAATAAGTATTGTAAAGCCATTTGATTGATGCCTTTTTTTTATTTAAAGTTGAGTTTCACTTAACTATTTATATTTTAATGTAATACCCTGTGATTAAACAGGAAGAAGCCAGTGGTCTGTCCATCTTCAGCGGAGAGGAGGAAAGGTTTGCCTTCCAGAGGACAGTGTCTCGACTCACAGAGATGCAGACAGAAGAATATTGGGTAGAAGGAGACCGAAGCTCAAAGTCAAAGGTTTAACAGTTTAAAAAAGCCATGTTACACAACCAACAAACTCCATATAAACTCTACTCCTCTCTGCCAAAAAGAGCCCAGACTGAACACTACTCCTACTCATCTTATCCAGCACAAACCCAATGGGACCGCTCAACAGTGTGTGCAAGCGTTGTACAGAGAATATTTATTGAAATCTTGAAAGCCTTTTATGACTTTATTGTGACATTGCACTTTACAGATCATTTTTAAGATAACCTCTAGAGGTGTCATATTGCTTTTAACTCAGGATCATATAGTGGTCCAACTGTATTTACTTCTATAAACCTGTAGGAAACAGCTGGACGACTTTTGGAGACGGATTCCCAAAAGGACTTTTCTAAAGATTTTAAGGGACGTTTTAATCTCTTTTGAGCTACATAATGTTGATGAAAATTACATCTCAATGAGTTTGTATGTGATTGTAATGCAAGCCTAAAATACAGTGGTAGCAGATTGGTTCAGGGATTTAAAGAATTTTCTTTGTGATGAGTTGTGTGGATGGTGCCTGTGAAATGAACAATAATTCATCAGTATCTTCATTTGGCGAACAAAAAGGAAACAAAAGCAGTTTCACAGGAAGCGTTTTACTTCCAGGCTGCTGTTGTCTTCTGTGTCTGTCTTCATAAATGAAACAACAACGGTTCGAGTGTTGGAGTTGGTTGAGGATTTGCCAATTTACATACATCTTTTCTTTATTTAAACAAAAACCTTTTTATAAAAAAGCAAAGTAGCGTGGGCAGTGAAAGCAAGAAAAAAAGTGTATCTCCTGTACAAACACCCCACAAAAAATAGTGTTATTGTTCCAGAGAGACAGTTGGTGTTTTTATTTCGTGGAGTCGTTATTATTTGCAGAAACTAAATCTTAAGTCTTTTTTTTTTTTTTTTTTTTTATTTTATTTTTTGAAGTTTCAGTTTCATATTGGAGGATGAACTGCCTTCAACTGTGAATCAAATGTTCTCATAACTTCTTCAGTGTCAGTGAGATTAACGGTCATTTTATTGCTGATCAGATTTAATGCTTGTGAGGGAAAAAAGCTGTTGTAAAATGAGTAAGTTATTAATTTAGCTCAAAATCACATATTTGGCTTTAAAATCTGTACAGCATGTCTGTACTCTTGGTCCTCAGATCTTTACTGTCATATGATAGTAATATTATTGGGCAATATGGTTGAAATCAATATTTTTCTAATATTAATATATCAAAACATGGCAAATGTGTGACAAATTATATATAACAGAATCAACTTTGTGCCACTAATGGATCAGATGTAAAACAAACACTCTGATGACTCAAGTTGTTTTTTATTTTTTATTTCAATCACAATTTAATGTTGTAAAATGACTGGTCTATCAATCTGTATATCACTAATTATTTAACTTTGACATGAGTGAATGTTGTTGGAGTCGGCTTCTGTCTTACAAAGCCTTTAGTTTTAGTAGTTATTGTTGAATCAATCAGTCAATTCTTCATTAGAATTTGCTTTAAATCTCTTTTCCCTCATTTGAAAAAGCTTCTTACGTTGTTGTTGCAGAGCTGTAACTATGATTTTATAGATACTGAGTTACAACTACAAATCCCCAGTGGAGGATGTGGCTTTCTTTCCATTTTATTTGTTGGTTTAACTTTTAACGGTTATATTTTTCCAGATGCTGATTTAAAGCCTTCTCCACTTTATCATTCTAGTGAGATTAATACACAATGTATTTTTTTATTTTTATTGATTGATCAGTCATTAATTTAATCAGCCTTTAAAACCCATCATTTGTTTTGTGTGTGTAACTGTAGAATGACTTCAGGTCATTAAATGACACGATATGATGATAACATCTACAATATAAGTTGCAGTAAGAAGATTAAATATCCAGAATTAACAGAATTTTAAATGTCTTTAAAATCACCATTTAAGACAAACCTATTGACATTTTTCTTTTTCATTATATTTGTAAAGCTCCATATTATTATCGAGGAAACTGAATCATCTCATAGTATTTTGGAGGGAGAAAGTATGTTTTTAGACTTAAATTTCCCTATTTTTCAGAATCTGTTTTATTACCAAGTAGGTTTCCCACACACAAGGTATACAAGTGCAGAACAATAAACAAAGAAAATATAAATATAGAGCCCTACAGGAATGTGCAGTGTGACATATGATGATATTTACAATGTGTGAGATATAATCCAAGAGATAGAAACAGGCTATGAGAGATACATTTGATAGATTATTAAACCCCCCCCCCGTCCCACACAACATTTCTGCAAGTACAATAACAAACGGATGCTCAACACTTCCTTCTTGTCATAGTATTTAAGTCAGTAATAAAGCAGAGGGACAACACTGTACATTATTGGAAATATATTGACAAAATATGCTTTAATGGTCCTGTAATGTCTTTAATTTAACTATAATTAATAATAGGACCCCAAACAGACACAAATTTACTCATTGTGTGAGATTTTCTCCAAATTTAGTGGAAAAAAATGGTTTATTAAAACATTTTATTCTTTGTCGTTTATTAAAAAATGAATGTTAATTTTTCTGAAACCCTGGTTATGATCTGTGCTTCCAATAGCAGACTTTTAAAGCTGTTGCACAAAACCCTAATGAAGAAAAATAAAGGACAGGTAAGTGCTCATATTGTCACTTTAACTCAGGTGGATTTTAATATTTAATTCAAGCTGCAGCCTCCATCAACAGCAGCAGCAGCAGCAGTATTGAGGAGTATAATGACTCCTTATGGTCCTAGTAAAGGTGTACACAGTGATGTCACTGGCTATCTCCATACTGTCACTTTAATTTCAGTGCAGTCCAGGGGGGCAGGATCGTGTGCTTTTTTTTTTTTCCTCCCTCCTCCTCCTCCTCTTGGACTCGGAGCGTTTGCGCCAACCAACCCCAGCAGCAGCCACAGCAGCAGCAGCAGCAGCAGATTGAATGAAGTGTGTTTGCAGGCTGCTGGCCACACGGAGGACACCGTGCTGGCCTGTTCAAGATGTACAGCAAGAATGCATCATGATTCCAGCTCTTGAGAGGGCGGATTTAAGCCTCGCTACATTTCTTCACTAACACCCCCCTTTAAAAAAAAAAAAAAAAAAAAAAAGCTGCAGGGCCTTGAGAAAGGCAATCTCCGCCTTGATGGTATCTGGACAGCAGCGCAGCGCTCAGGCGACTGGCAGCTCTCTGCACGGATGATAAAGAACTTGGGAGAAGGAAATGGTCAAGATGGCAGCTGTGTGCGGAGTGATAAAGCTGATGTGGTGGCATTAGATGTTGTAATTTTGCTCTTTTCTTTTGGCATGCACGCCGCAGGATCGCGGTGCAGGACGCTTGTGGAGGAACGCCGTTTGGACTCTCTCCGCGGACTCTTCCTATCTTTTCTCTCCACGTTTCGCCGGAATTGCAATGCATGTTGGCCAGGGTGTGGGCTGTGCACGGGGAAAGGCAATGTTTTGTTAATGCTGGTGAGTCCGATCGGCTGTGCGTGCTGCGGATAGACGCCTTGCAAGGAGGATAGAAAGACGGACACGTGTTTTCTTTTGGGGGGGACTTTGGGGGGGCTGCAGGCTGTACATTTGCATATCGTGCATAGTAAATAAAACCGCCTCTGAAGTCTGCACACAACATTGATGGAATGCGACCCGAGTGATTTTATAACCCATTGTGCAACCATCGAGATATTCAGATTAACATGGCTGAGGCGCCGCGCACCGGCAACGAGCCTCCTTCAAACGTTGAGATAGATCCGGATTTCGAGCCCCAGAAGCGGCCACGCTCCTGCACTTGGCCCCTTCCCCGTCCGGAGTCTGGTGCGGGCAAGCCCGGAACAAATGACACTGACGTAATCCCCGAAGAGGAGGATGATGAAGGTGGCAGCACGGGGAGCGGCGATGCTCAGAAAGCCAGCGGTGGCACTGGTAAAGCCCGGGAGCCGAGCAGCAGCATCTCCGAGCCTGTGGAGGTCCAGCGCGGCCCCTGCAAGGAGGAGGCCACCGACGGATCGCCTTCCTCCGCACAGACCCCCGCCGCGGCTGTGGGCGGCTCTGCCTCCCAGCAGCTGAGGAAGTCCTCCGCCCGCAGGAACGCCTGGGGCAACTACTCCTATGCAGACCTCATTACCCAAGCCATCGAGAGCTCCCCCGAGAAAAGGCTGACCTTGTCCCAAATCTATGACTGGATGGTGAGGTCTGTGCCATATTTCAAGGACAAAGGCGACAGCAATAGCTCTGCTGGCTGGAAGGTGAGCAGGAAAGCTGCTGGTGCTGTCATCATAACAAAGACCCCACTGTGGTCATGTAAAGACACACAGCTAATGTAGAGATGGAGGACACACACACCACTACACAGGATGATTTTAAGGTTCATTATGAGGGATATTTTGGATAATCAGCAGGGGATTTGGGGGTGTAGATGTGTGTCTGCCTGGAGCACATGGTGTTAAATGACATATGATATGATAAGTTGCTGTCAAAATATAAGAGTAGAGTTGAAATAGTGTGTGCATCAGATTACACACGCCGTTAGCTCTGCACCTTTTAATAATTTTAAGATGTAGTAAAAGAACAAGTATGAAAGTGGCGACTCTAAATAGGCAATGCAAAGTTAATTTCACTTTCAGACAAACTGCTCACACTGCAGCAGAGGGGCTTCTTACAAGCTTCAGCGGGGCCCTGCTTCTGTTTGATTTTAAGGATTAGTTCAGCCTGGAAAACCAATTCATCTGTCATGGAATCAAGTCTGATGAAAGCTTTGAGCTTTGCAGGATTTAGATGGGTGTGTGTGTGTGTGTGTGTGTGTGTGTGTGTGTGTGTGTGTGTGTGTGTGTGTGTGTGTGTGTGTGTGTGTGTGTGTGGGGTGGAGGGGTAGAAAAACTCTGGAAATAGGTTTGTAATCCTGCACAACTGTGGATGTGGGATGCAGACTGATCCCAGGGAGTTTCTTCATGAAGAAATTACAGTAAGGGGCCAAAAGATTGTGCTTTTAAAAACCTCATCGTGATGATGTGACGAGTATGAAACACGAGCTGAGAAACAAAGTGATGCTAATAACCGATTTTAATCTGCGCAGAATCAGCTGGTTAGTTAATACTCCAGATTAGTGGCGGTCAGTGTTTCATTCATGTTTTTGGGGACGCTCCTTTCCCACCAGATGCGTTCAGTGGCTGCAGACTTACATTGGGGGCTTGCACAGGAAAGGGTTAATGTTAGGGTTTCAAAAGTGCTGACATCAGCATTTCCTAGGAGATGCTTTGTAGCTGTGTGACATTCAGCAATCAGCTTCAGGTTGGGTCATCTGCATGAAGGGAGTGTGTGCAAAAGAATGTCCTCGGCGTGTTCAGGGTGGGACTGAAAGGTTGTAAATCCGAGACCTGTCAGACCTCTCAACGCAAACCAGAGTGACACCACGTTCAATGACAAATGTGTGTGCAGCTCCAACGTGAGGTTAAATGTTCAAACCTCCCCTCTGTTGTGAGTCCAGCTCCTGTATAGATGGCCAGCCCAGCCGCTCAACCCCACTGTGTGTGTGTGTATGTGTGTGTGTGTGTGTCTTTTCATGTGGCCTGGGCACAAGAATCAATCAGCTGACTATAAATTATGTAGGTCAATGTGTAGCAGTGTGAGAGAAGCTCAGTGTTTCTCTTTGGATCTGGCTCTGGCTAAACTGGCATTGCTCCAGTCCCCGCTCAGAACGAGGCTTTGCTCAAAGGGTGCTGCAGCGCTGCTATGACTGCATGGGGGAGGGGCAGGCAGGAGTTGCTCTTTGTGATTTATCTTTTAAACGCCGTATGGCTCCTACTGTATCTTACCTGTGCAGCGTTAGGAGCGTTTAACATGTCTCTGAAGCTTTTTAAAGGTGCAATAACTCCCCACTAGGTGTTTCTTTTAAGATGCAGGCCTCGCAGTTTCAGTTACACAGACCCAGAATGTAACAGGAACAGTGTGTTTTACACCTAATAGAGCACAAATACTGGTCAACGTATGCCACAGCAAACCTTAACTGGCTTTATACAGGAGGTAGACACAATAAAAGCATCACCAGTGTTGTATAACTCTAATAAATACATGCCTTTGTGCAGCTAATAACATAAAATCTCTCATCGAAGAGGAGAATTCTTTGGATGTTTTTGAGATGTTGTATTGTGCTGTTTTGTGTGACTGCTGTTTTGCCCACCTGCTGTAATATAATACAATCCAATACAGCAGCTCTGTAATTTACAGCCTCATAAATGACCACAGAGTCGAATCAAAACCTCTCTGACAGGCTCAACCAGAATGTCACAAAGGGTTATTTATTTATTGCAGGGTTGTTGTATCGGATTTCATTAGACTGAACAGGACAGGTGTTGCTTTTATTGTGTCTACTCCCTGTAGGTCATGGGGGAGATTGTGGTGTTTGGCTTGCTTTGCTAGTGTTTTAGTATTTTAAAAGATGAAGTCGGACTTGGAAACGTCCACATTTTGTCCGGTTACGGGTGCTGGCAGGGGAAAGAAAAACAAAGTGTGCACACTCTGAGTTGCTGTGTTTTATTAACACCTGCACTGCTCTCTTCATCTTCTTGGCACTCTTCGTCAAAGAATCTAGAGATTTATCTACTTTTAATTATAGACGCAGCCTTCTGGTTATAAACCCAGCTAATGGAAATGGACAAGTTCCAGCTGATGAGGAAATGTGGAAGGTTTGGTTAAAGCCACATTGAAGTGACACGAGTTAAAGGTTCTGTTTTTCATATTATCAACATATAAGTATGTTATCTTTGTGGTCAAAGCCTGATATATCTCGTTCCTTTGTGCCATAGAGCTCCATTGTTGTCGAAAAGCTATTAAAACATGTGATTAACATTGAGTTTATCCCAGATACAGCAGTAAGTAGTTGCTGTAAATACTCTGTAGGTTGAAATGAGATCAAAAATGGTATTTAATTAGCTTTGGAGGTGCTGGTAACACCTTACTGGTTACAGAAACCCCCTGTACCTGTAACCGGATGCTGGTTGTAGCTTCATATCTGGTAGACTGGTATTGATCTAACTGTAGATGTGGTTACACCCAAGAATTAATGATTAACAAAAGCCAGAAACCTTTTCAGCTCATGTGTTGAGTGGAAATCGGAGAGAAAGTAGAGCAAAATGAGGTACCTGAATTTTTTATTTCCGTTAGCCACATGTGCTTTGTTGTTGTAAGTGATCACAGTGTTTGCTAGTTGGCCTAATCCTTTAATGGGCTTGAAGTGTGGGCTTTACTGGAAGTTTGATGTCAGCAGGTCATTCCATTGACTCATTGCATTTGGAGGAAAACTGTGGCCTGGCGATTGTGATCGCTCAGTCATCACAAAGCTGGAGGGCAGCTTCAATCACAGCTGCCTTTATGGTATCCATATTGTGAAGGCCACGGACAGCTGTAGTCCGTATGTGTTGAGCTTGTTTAGAGTTTGATTAGTTTAATCTTATGAGAGATTTAAATGGGACCTCCGTTTACTCAAGTTAAATCAAGCTTAAGAGAATTATGCTGGACTCTCTCCCAGCGAAGTTGGCCCTTGAGCTGCAGAGATCACTGCAGAGTTTTCCTTCCTTCTGTTACTGCAGTGTGACTTAGTGTGGGCTGGTCGCGCAGGCTCCAGCTGTTTAATTTTGTACATGGTTGGGAACATCTCCAGGGAAATCCTTTAGACCTTTCCGAGCAGTCAGAAATAGGTCACAGTGCGAGGTGCAAAGAAGAAGTGTCTGTTAGAAGTCTTTGCAGTGTTGTTCTGTTTTTGGTCGTAATAGTTTATTATCAAAAACCTTGTATGAGCTGTGTATTTATAACAATCTGAAGAAGAATCATATATATGATGATACAGGGGTCACGATTTAATATATTCTTTTTATTATGATACTGTAAGCAAAGATATATATATATATATATATATATATATATATTGTGATTTAAAAACGAATCAGATTTTAGGAAAACTGTCATAATATAAAGAACACACCACCATATGTTACCACTGGGATCTGCATTTGTATTCATCTGTACCTGCAACATCCAACATTATAGCCCTCAGTTTACATTTATAATACTGCTATATCTGCTACTGTTTTTGAGAATCAGTACAATCTCACAAAACACAAGATATTTTTCATTATTTTCTTACATCCCTAATTGGATGTTGCTTGTGAAAAGTCTTAATTTTCTTCCTCTAGTGCAGCGGTTACCAACCACTTTAAAATCAATCAAGTAGTAAAGTTAGAGAAAAACCAGAACAAAATATACTTGTTTTTGTGTGTTTGAAAAATCTGGTGACCCCTGAGGGGGCCCCCCGCCCTCAGGTTGATCCAGTCCAACCAAGTCCAACGTGACAGGAAACGAAGGTAAATGGTAAAATTATTACCCAAACTGTATAAACTCCACAAAGTCTATTCAGTAGCAGTTCTGGAGCTTTCAGACTTAGAGTTGTAGATGTTCAATTTTCTATTTTAAATATTTTAAAGGGAAATCTACAATGCCATCACAAGCTCCAGAACAGATACTAAATGGACCTTATGGTTAAAAAATGTTCTCACAACTAAGTCAAGGTCAAGAAATGAACTTGCAATGTTAATTACCTAAACTGTTTGTTGTAAACATCCGTCACAGTTTACAACTTTCTGGTTGAATGTTGAGGTACTGTACTTGCCGTAGTTTTGTGTATGTACAGTTTTCCTCTGTAATGAAACAATAGATAATGTGACTAAACTGTTGACCTGTTTACAAACCTCTCATAGGTCAGCTGCCTTCCTAAACCTTTAGTGTAGTGATGATCTTACTTACTTAATATTATGATAAAACTAGGAATCATGGCTAAAACTATAAAATAAAAAAAATAAAAGATTTAAAAAAAATAAAAATAAAGTTTTTGAAATTACTCTTTCACATATGCATTTTAATTATGTTTGATCAGAATCATCTTTATTTGCCCATAAACTGGTTTCTATTAGCTCTGAATCAACTCTACAGAAAGACCATGCTTTATCTATTTTCATTTGTTTTTGTTTCAGAACTCCATCCGACACAATCTGTCCCTTCATAGTCGCTTTGTGAAAGTCCAGAATGAAGGAACAGGGAAAAGTTCCTGGTGGATGGTCAACCCAGAAGGTGGGAAAGGTGGCAAAGCTCCCCGACGACGGGCTGTATCGATGGATAACAGCAAGTACATCAAAGGAGCCCGAGGACGTGCCACCAAGAAGAAAGCCTCGCTGCAGGCAGCTCAAGACGGCAGCTCAGAGAGCTCCTCCAGCCTCTCCAAATGGACAGGAAGTCCCACCTCCCGCAGCAGTGATGAGCTGGACGCCTGGACAGACTTCCGCTCCCGGACCAATTCCAACGCCAGCACACTCAGCGGTCGTCTGTCCCCGATCCTGGCCAACCTGGAGCTGGATGAGGTGCCTGATGACGACTCGCCTCTCTCCCCGATGCTGTACTCCAGCCCCAGCAGCATGTCCCCGTCCACGGGGCCCACAGGGCTCTCCGACCTGGCAGGTACCATGAACCTCAACGACGGGCTCTCTGACAACCTGATGGACGACCTTTTAGACAATATCAGCCTGACAGCATCCCAGCAGCCTCCTCCTGGAGAGGAAGACGACGGAGCCAACGGTCAGGGGACCTCAGTGTTTACCTTCAGCTGCTCAGGAAGCGGTCTGGGTAGCCCCTCTGGCAGCTATGGGCCTAACCCTCTTTTTAGCCCTCCGTCCATCACAAGCCTGCGGCAGTCGCCCATGCAGACCATCCAGGAGAACAAGCAGACCACCTTCTCCTGCATCTCGCACTTCAGTGACCACCAGACGCTGCAGGATCTGCTCAGCCTGGACTCCCACAGCCACAGCAACGTCCTGCTCACCCAGTCTGACCCGCTGATGTCGCAGGCCAGCACCGCCATTGCCCTGCAGAACTCCCGCCGAAACGCCATGCTGCTCCGCAAAGACCACATGTTGGTGAACCACACCAGCGCAGGTCAGGCCCAAAGCTCTTCAGTGCCTGGTTGGCAAGCTGGCTTGTCAACCTCTGACGGCGACGCCGGCCACAACGACACCAAGCAGCCGCACCTGAAGTCTCCCAGCAAGAACGCCTCTATGCAGCTCAGCTCTGGTTTGTCCGGCCAGGACCGCTTTCCCGCCGATCTGGACCTGGATGTGTTCAACGGCAGTCTTGAGTGTGACATGGACTCCATCATCCGCAATGAACTGATGGAAGCAGATTGCTTGGACCTTAGCTTCGACTCTTGCCTCACCTCTGCCCAGAACGGCAATAGGAATTCAGGAAGCTTCTCCAGCTCGAAACAGACCTCCCCTCACAGCTGGGTCCCAAGCTGAGAAGCTCTGTCGGAGCTCAGCATGGCTTAAAAAAAAAAAAAAAATGAAGTGGGGGGAAAATGTAAATTGGGGTTCGTTGTCCTGCATTGTGCAACTAGAGGGAAGAAAGTATGTAAAAGTGTATTCATGTAGTATTTTTTTCCCCATTATTTTTAACGTGAGGCATTAAGTTTGGTACTGTATTCTAAGTGTCTGAGACACACTATGGTGTCTTCACAGAGGAGAAAAAAACGTCTTTAAAAAGATCAATGCCTGGGCGGTGTGAACAACAGTATTGACTGGAATGGAAGTACAGGACATTTTGTTAAAACTATATGAAAAGCATCAACTCGTGTTAGTCTCAGGGAATCACTCATACAGTATCACAAAGTGATACATGAAACTGACGATGGATTATGTTTTCACCCTGCTTTCTCTCCTCTTTCACCCCCTTTCATACCTAAAAACCAACGTTTTTGCCAAACCAGCTGTCAGCCTGTTGAGAGTGACAGCCTGTTTACAGAAAAAAGCTGCAGAGAATGTTACATAATTACGTTCCAGTGGAGGATACTTGACAAGCTTTTTTTTTTATGTCGTTTTATTTTCTACAGTTTCTTTGAGAGACGTAGCCTAAATGGACTAAAAGATTTAAAAACAAGTGTTAATGAAAAACTTTTTTTGTTTGTTTTTTGTTTGTTTTTTTCCATTGATGCACAGAGTCACGCACCAAATATCAATCTGTAGAGGTTAATATGTTATCAAGATGTGAACTGGTCTACATTGTGTGGTTTTTGTATGTAATGTTTTATTTTTATTTAGCAAATTTTACCCTGTGATTTTAGTGACATTACTGTGAATTCTGTTCCTTCTGAAGAGGTGCATTACTGAAGTCTTGATAATATGGTGTTTCTGCTGCGGATACCCTTTTCACCATCTCCACCTTCCTCCTCCTCCTCTTCCTCACCCACTCTTACTGCAATATTGGAAGTACTGCTCAGTATACAGAGTTTAGGACAGAATTAAAGGACCGTGACATGATTTAGCTCTAGTTGACACCATTTACATTAGCAAACACTTAGAACTATTTGGATTAAAAATAACCACCCTTAGAGACTCCACAGCACTCGACTACAATATTTTGTTAATTTGAAGGAGTTCTTGGTGCTATAAATAAGAAGATAGCAGGGAGTGGCTGCAGATGGAGCAGCATTAGTAGCCTCCCCTTGGTTATCAGCACTATAGCAGGTGCTGGGCAAAACGGTGTTTCCAACCCTGTGAGAGGAGGTTGTGTAGTATATTAGAGCCATTTTTTTTTTTTTGCCATTTGAGAAAGAAACAACCACAGTATTTTAAATATTGCCAAAATATTTCTGCATTTAAATAAGTGGAAATAAGAGGATATACAGTGTATAAATATTAGGAACCAGTGCTATAAGGTGCAAAAAAATAAACATCAGCACAGTTTTTGTAGGAACAGCAGGATGAACTTTTTTATTTTTAGTTTACATTTTTATCAGCTGGAAACTGTCCATTTTCACTGAAATTGTCTTCTTGTTAAATTGAAATCTTATTTATTTTTATTTTTATGCTTTTCCATATGACTTGTGGTAGAGCCGTGTAAAAGCACTTTTGTTTTAATGGTCTGTTCGACATTTCGACCACCTCAATCGGGTATTGATCAGACTGACAAAGAACGGCAAATGGTGCCTGAAATAGTGCCCTCCATTAGCGTTGTTGACATTGAAATGAACTGACATGAATTGAATCCCATTTGCTTAATTTTTGATTTTACAAAAATCTATTCTATAACTGTGCTTCCAAATATGATTTTGGTAGCTTCACGAGGATGATTTTGTTTTAAAAATACAAGATACTGACTTGTTTTGTTTTTTTTCTACATTAATTTTGAGTAACACTCACTGCCAATATTCAAACACCATTTCTTCCTATTGCTCCTACAAAAAAAAGAGAAATCAAGTTGACATTGCCAGTTGTAATTCCAATTCCTATCTTGGTTGTATCAGAGATGGTGCATGTAAATAAAGCTTAAAGAACCACTGAAAACCTGGAGTTTATTTTTTTAGATATTCCTTTTTTTATTTCTGTCTCCAGAGGAATTGCACAGCTGCAGAATTGACTCTGCTGTCACCGCAGAGGTGATTTCCTATTGGATAATCATATCATGAGCTAAGAACCAATCACACACTGTATCCAAGAAGAATGGACCCTCTGAGATTAAGTCAAGGTTTCTGAATGCATGATTGTTTGAGGTATGTGCTGCTCAACAATTGGTTTGCTGTGTATAATCTCATATTTACATGCTGTGCTGTATATTGCAAATGACAGTTGAAGTGGTAGTATCCATAAAGCCCAAAAGCATTGGCATATTCTAACAAAGGAGGACTCGAGTGTAACATTAGAGCCCTCTACAGATCAAATGCAGTCACTGTCTGGGTCCATATGGAGGACAGGAAATGGGAGAGGAAGCCCGGGCTGCATGGTTGGTCTCCATGGATACACCACAACAAGTCGGTGTGTGGAGGCAGAGATTTGGCAGGACTTAAGGAGGTGTACTTTATTTATTTATTTTTTAATGTTTGGATTTCCCAGTTACTAAATGTGTTGATCCTGAACCGAGAGAAAAGGTCTGCCATGTGTGACGTATACAGAGTTTCCTCCTCTGTTAAAGTGGAGCAGATGGAGGCAGAGCTGTCGCATCAACTCTCAGCACTCAGGACGGAAATTGAAGAGAATGGATTTCCCCAAAGAGCGGGGCCCTCCAAATGTTACAGGTGTGGAAGCTTTGCTCACTGTAATGATTATTTCATGTTCTGTGTCAGATAACAGTTGAACTTTAAACTCTCTAGATTGAAGTCCCTCCTCCACTCAATAATGTCTATGTTTTACTTTGTTGGATGTTTGTCAATGTGAAGAATGACACTAGAAGACTCACTTTAAATCAGATTTGTTTGTGACTCACAACTAGTGTGGAAGCCAACCGTTGTCCAGTATACAATTTGCACAAGTGTATTTTTGTTTTTGTGCAAAAAACCATCAGACAAATTTTTATTCTAAGTAGATTATTTTTATATGTCTTAAAACATGTTTGAAGTGGGGCTTCAGTGTCTGTTTTAAATGGTCTAGCTTGCCAAATAGGTGGAACTTAAAGCCAAAACGTGTATTCTCTATGAAAACATGATTTACAAACATAATTACTATTAAATGTGGAATATTTTACTCATTTTTAAAAGGCACCAGTTGTCATTAGTGTTATCTTGCAAATTCTCATTCTCAGTCAGCTAATTTTTAGGATGGGAATGTGTTTGTTGGTCGGTCAAACATTTTGGTTCAGGCTTAAATATCTTAACTTTTGTCATGAATTTTGTAACTGTACAATCACTCATGGTCGTCAGACGATAAATCTTAATGACTTTGGTGATCCCCTGACTTTGTGGAAATCTCTTCTATTGTATGCTTTGAAATTAGCCATTTTTACTAGAGGGTGACCTTTTTCATAGCAGCCATTTTAACACGAAATAGTAGGGTAAACACAGGTACTATCAAAAGTTCTATTCAGGTCAAACAGAGTCAGGGTGTTTGCTATTGTGCATGTTGGCTCACTGGAAAGGCTCTTCTACACTAAATGAAACAAAGCCTTAACCCTTGGTTTCTTGAATTGTGCAACTTAAGGTGAATTATATTGAATTTAACATTTAATTTGTATGAAGATTTTATTATTCCTTCTTTCAAAAGTTACTTTAAACGCTGTTAGGCCGAGAGCTTTTTCTAAATTAATTTCTAGGTTTGTTTCAGTTCTGTTCTCCCTCCGAAGGATATTTCCTTCTTCCGTGTGGAAAGGGAACAAGTGCTGAGGAGAGCGCTTCAGGTGAGGCTGAACATTTATATTTTATTTTTTATCAAGGACAGTCGAGGGGCTACAGAGAATTAATTTGTCAATTTCTAGGTCATTAAAAACGTCACAGCCTCGGGATATAGTGTAATGGTAACTTTAAAGAAGTTGATTTGGCTTTTTGTTTTACTCCTCTCTCCTCCTGGCTGCAGGTGAGTGAAGCTTTGCCAATTCAGTCTCAGGCTGACGTCATGCAGAGAGAGCTGGATAGTTGCTTGAGTTTAGAGTACACTCCTGACAGTCTGCCTCCTCTGCTGCACCAGGTGAGGACAGTAGCAACCCTCCAGACAACACAAGATCATAAAAAAAGGCTTCACATGCAGCACACCACAATGGAAATTAGTCTTTTAAACCGATATTCTTTTTGTACATTTGTCTACAGTTCTATACTGACAGGTCATATCAATTGGCTCAGATCAAATATCTGCTCATGCTGAGATGGAGGAGATTCTGCCGCCACACCAGCGTCATTGAGAAGCTTTATCCTCATTACAAGGTGACAACCTGAGTCTCATTTTGGCCAGAGCTTCCAAATGACAGGAGGTTTTCTTCTGGTGGCTCGTCCTCATTACAGTTCGTTGAGATTGTTTATGTGTAAAGAAAGATGATGTGACAAAGGGCAGAGAGCAAATCTAAATCATTACTGGTGATTTAGGAAAAAATAAGATGCTTCAATAATACTTTAATTAAACTTAAACAGTATTATTTTCATTACTGAATAATCTGGAGATTATTCTCTCAGTTGTTTGGTCTATAAAATATCAGAACAGTTTCCTAAAGCACAAGGAGAAATCTCCAAATAGCTTTTCTTGTTGGACAAACCCCAAAATATACAGTTTGTTCTCATATAAGACAAAGAAAAACTGCTGCAATGTGAGAATTCGGGGCATTTTTGCTAGAAAACAAGGCAATTATTTTAGTTTCAGAGTAATTATTTGTCACTTAATGGATGAATTGTTTAATTCAATTAAATTTAATACATTTACTCTGCACAGAGATGATATGAAGAGGCCATACTGACATAGCATGACTTAGTATTCATAAAAATATACAAAAACAGTAGCAATGACAATTTTTGGCACTTTAATAATTGTACCAGTGGAAAGAAATCCAATTAATTCTTAATTCTTAATTAAAATACAACAAAGGGAGTTTTTTCTTCTGTCTCCTGGCTTCTATAAATATGAAAGTTGTGCTGGAATAACGGAAGATTAATGACAAAGAACAAGCTTATCTGCTGTTGAAGTAAAGAAAACTAAACAGAACCTTCACTGCTACCTACAGCTTATATAAAGCTTTCATAGCTCTTCAGCAAATATGTGAACATACTTAAATACATGAAGAAACAAAGATTTTTGCAGGATAATCTCTTATCTTTCTCTTCCTTCTCTGTGAAGGGAGAACCTTGACGGCCTCCTGAGCGTTGATAATCTTTTTATCTGATTTCCAGCTTATTCGCCTTCTCCAGATCACATCAGACCTTTTTCTCCCTCAGGATCAGGTGTCATATTTGACGAGTGAGTACGAGGACGCCATTCAGAGAGCTCGCAGGCTGTCGGTGTGCAGAGAAAAGATCCTGACCGGCCGAGAAAACCCTGCAAACCTGCTCACTCAGGATGATGTGGTCATTTACCTGCGGTGGCTGGTCTGCCATCTGCGCTCTGTTCAGACCGTTCACAACTTCCTCAGGGTAAAAATCCACAGACAGTCCAAGAAGGCCTTTGGTGTTTTCATTTGAAAACTATTGATTTCCTTGTTTGACTCCATCTTTAACAGGTGCTGCACTGCATACCAGCATGTGAAAGAAAAAAGAAAGAACCACAGCAAAAAGTTTATGAGGAAACTTCACATAAGACTCAACATGTTGAGGGTGAGAGTCAAACCAGCAGCATCTTTAATGTTTAATAGATAATAAATAGATTAAAATAAAGATTCACCACTGTCATCAGAAATATAACATTATAACAGTTACGAAGTAGAATATATTGTGGACATTTTTGGCTGATTATTGGAGGAAAAGTTGTGTGCTCACTAAAGTCATTAGGATTTATTGACAAAATAAACTCACCACCAATGGAAACTACAATTTAATGACAACTGGTAAAACTTGAGATCATGCGATATGATCAAAAGCTCCAGAACGGCTGCTAAATGGAGCTTTTGTGAGAATACTTTGTCAACTCTGGTTTCCAAGGTTAGAAATGAAACAACAAAATAATAACAACTCGATGATAGCTATGGCTATAATACTATAGAATCTTGTAAATGCATCCACACAGGCTGTTGAGAGGAGATTTCATAGCTTATTACTGAATATATTCAACTACAGGACTGGCTGCTGATGTCCCCCTGCACACTGTTAACCTGGAGGAGTTTCTACCTGAGCTGCAGACATTAATCTCTCACTTCCACCTGTCCTATGACACTCGAAAACTCCGGACCACTGCAGACGAGATGGAGTTATTCAGCATGGTAATGGATAACTGAAACAATTTATACACAAAAGCCTTGCAATATTTATAACTGTGCACTTAAATGGCATCTGCCAAGATATGTTATCAATGATGTGTCAATCTGAATCTGTCTCACCAGGTGTGGAGGGAGTTTAGAGCGATTTTCGGACATCAAGAGCAGATGAAAACGTTTCCTCACTACGATGGTGCAGAGGTCAAACGGAGCCAGTGGGGGAGGAAGAGTGCAAGCCTGGCTCTGAAGAAGGAGGCCAACTGGATCCCCTTCATTCAGGTTAGAGTAAATTAGCTGCAGTAAAATAGTCTCCACAAAGAGTTTCTGTAAGTCTGTAAGCCAGATGGTTTGGGGTTTGTCGAGGAGTAACAGAGTGTATCGTGTTTCTAAGGTAGTCACTATTGTTCTCATGTACTGTTCAACTATTTGGAACGACTTCTATTTGTGTGGTGGGAGGGACCATAGATACTGACAGTTTGGATTCTGTCATGTAGGTGAAGCCCAAACGGGATCCATGGCAGCAGAAGCTCGTCACAAAGCTGAGGGAAAAGAAATCTGTTGATGAGCTGCTGAAGATGCAAAGCAGGTTTCTTCAGGTAACAGTCTAAATCAATGACTCTGCTTTCTTCTCTTTGTTCTGTTAGCTCTCTTGTTTTAACTTTTCAAATGCAGGACTGGGCTGTGTATCAGAGAATGTGAATATAGATTGTGTTCAGGTTTTCAAAGTTTAGATCTTAAAAATAATCAAAACTCTGAATTTGATTTAGTTTTCCTCACAGAAATGAACAAAATGTTAAGATATAGGCCTACTGTGTATATTTTTTAAGTTTTCTTACTATCCTTAAAGTCAAGAAGGCCTCGCAAACCCCCGGTGAAGCTTTGGTGACCCCTGGTGGGGGTCCCGACCTTCAGATTGGGACCCACTGCTTTAGGGTGCCCTTCCAGTGGAAAAAACGGGATAGCTTTCTCTCTAGTTATTCTTTTATCTCTAGGACTACTGGTTCTATGAGTCTTTTTTAAAGTTATCTGTCACATGCAAATAAACCCCTGCTCATCTGGTTTTTAGAACATTTTTATCATGAAGTTTCAGGTGTGAGTTGTTGTTTGTGTACCTCATCAGGTCCCTGATGTGCTCCATGTGGCCGCGGCTGTAAAAGAACACGCTGCTCATGTTGCCGACTTACAACCTGGACCGAACTCCTCAGTCTCACACGGCAGTAAGACAAAACGACAAAACGTCTCCGAGATCTGGACGAGTATTTACAGCGCCGCCTCTCTCACTCAGGCATGTGTCACCCAGTTTTCTACTTGGAGAGGTGGAATAAATATAGAAAAACCTCTCAGCTCCCCTCTGCTGCCACTGATGGAAGACATTATATTAAAAGTGACATTTGTCTTGCTAGGAAACACACGATCAGTCAGCCAGGTCTAGCAGCAGAGGAGGCCACGATAAGAAGAGTCAAACCTCGAATGCAACAAATGAAAGGTTTGTATTGAGCAGAGAATATATATATTTTCAAGATGTCTACTGACGTACTGAAACAATGAGACAAAACATAATTAAATTAAACAAATTGATAATAAATTTAGTGCTTTTAATGACATACAAAGTAAAAATGTCAAACATTAGCTGGTTTTTGTTTGTCCAATTGGAATATTTTCAGCATTCTTCTGTTTATATCATTGTATTTTATCATTTTTTTGCAGGTAGACTAAATAAGCAATTCCAAGCAAATATGTTTGGAATTTGTCATTATTTTCTGATATTTTATAGACTTGATAATCAAAAAAATCACAAGTTAAATGAGCAACTTTGCTTTCTAACCATGATCCTGGCCTGCAGTTTGTTCTTTGTTGTCTCTCTGTTGCATAAAACACAAGATAACTCTTTGCTCGCTCTATACAGCTACTCTTTCAAGGACAGCCTGCAGCTCTTGGGTCTGGATGATAGTTTAGAGGAAGGAACCTCAGATCCCATCGTAACCAGAGGTGCTTACCTGTCTCTGATTCACCTGCGCCATCTCAAACTCAGACAGCTCCAGGTGAGGCACACCGGCAGAACGATATGATGGTTCTCTTGAAATCAACAACAATCTGGTTGGGAACATATGTCTTAACTTTTCCCATCTGGCAGCGCATCTCTCTTGGGCTGCTGAACTACCTGCGCTCTATGGAGAGGACTTTGACATTTGACCTGTCAGGTCTGCAGCTGCAGGAAGGAGAGCTGTGCAGCACAGCGGAGGAAACAGGCTGGATGAATGCTGCCAGGGGAGGAAGAGGGGAGGCAGGAGGTCTCGGCTCGCTCCAGTATAGCCACAGCACTCCTGTTGACTGTAAGGTAAGAACATAAAGTATATGGCAGCTGTTGTTTTACTGGTGCATCTATCTGCTGTGCATTCATAGGAACAGTGATACTACTGCTTGTGCTTCATTAATTTCCGAAAGATTCACTAGATATGATTTGTAGTCCCAGAGTAGTCCTGTTTACCTCACGGAAATCACTCTTGTTTCTGCCTCATTTGTTTCTTATTCATCAGAATATCTTGAGGAAATTTGGTAAAAGGAGCTACATTTTGTATAATATAATATAACCTTTAGTGAAACAGGAAAACATCATTAAGAAATCTCTTTTCAGGAGTGTCTTGGAAAAGAGCATAAAACAGGTTACACAAAATATAACTCTCAATCAGGATTAAACACAAATGTGATTATAAAACCATACATTTATTATTTATTATTTATTATTATTATTATTATTATATACATTATTATAACAGTAGGTGTGGATTCAGATCCAGGTCCAGGTGCAGATTATTCATGAGCTACTGCATTTAGTCGACAGGCGTACTATCGTTTTCTGTCACTGTGTTTTTTAGATGAACATTTGGATCCAAATATGAAAAATTAAAACTTTCTAAACATTTTCTATGATGGAAATAACACATGAAGGTGTGAACATCACTCACCTTCTACTTAAATATAGAAAATGACACAAAACGGGCCACCTTAATGTCTGAACAGTGTAACTAGTGTCATTAGATTTGAATCATGCCCTTTCTAACAGTTTATATTACTGAAAATAGTTTTACAATATTTTTTTTCTGGTTTTATTTTATGTGTATTCATTTTCTTTGTTTTTCTAATCAGTGTTGGTTGATTAGATCCAATTTTTGCCATTTCCACGGTTTTATGGATGTATGAAATGAATCTTGAACCCACTTGGGGGTTGTTTGGTGTAATGCAATCACTGTGTCTGGGTAGGTAAATTTACTAAATTATGTGTTCTGGTATGAAGATTCAAACTTTTATGTATTATATGTCTTGGTTTGTCTTGGTCTTTGGTTCTATACATGTGTTTATGATCTCTGCTGTTCGCATTATGTAGTATATGACGTCTTCTCATTCCAGGTCCATTGCTCAGAGTTTATGGAGTTTGCAGAGGTGGAGAACCTTCATGATTTCTACTGTGCAGAGGAACGGTTCGTCCACACTCAGGACCAGAGGGGGTTTTACATCGTGTACGACGCTGCGCTGAAGGACCTGGAGGAGCTGGAAAACGAGCTTCTTCTAGTCGGCTCCCACTTCATCCAGAGGAACAGGATGAAGAAAATGGGAAAAACCGAGAGAGCAGACGTCTACTCCTGGGCCGGGACAGATGTCGACCGTGTTGCAGTGCTTCTTGACTTGTGGACATGTGAGACAGAGTTTCTGGAGAGCAAAGTGCAGGTAGAGTGACACAAATTGAGGACTATGAATGCGTTGATTTGCTTTTTACGTCTCTTTGTTGGCTGTCTTCTCATGTATTTACTTGCTTCGTATGATAAGTTACTTCTGTCTTTTCTGATAGATCAATAAATAGTGGCCTTTAAAGCACTTCTAGAATTTTATAGGGCCAGCTTTCAGATAATTGTACTGTCTGAGTTCTTATCTGGAATATTTAATGTTTAATTTCCCCGTTTTCCAATGCCAGTCAAGTTCATGGATCTTTTTATGGCATTCACTGTTGGTTTCTCCTTGTCCTCCAGCTCCTGAACTGTTACTATGAGGCCTACCAGCATGCATCAGGGACTGAGGAGAGGTTTGCGCTGGCTCAAGTTATTACTGACATCATGCACAGTAGGCCACAACTGGACCTCAACCAGGATTACTTTGTTCAGGCCTACAGAGCTGAGATAGGCTGCCTGCAAAGCCACCAGCAGCTGATCAAAGACATTTTGGACAATCAGGTGAAAACCAAAGTGCAGAATGGAAATGTATGAATGCTTTTGTTTGAATTAGAGATTAAACAAGTTAATTGATCGATAAGACAATCAAACAAAAATTGATCTGAAACTATTTTGGTCATTGATTCATCATTTCAGTCATTTTTTAAGCACTACTGTAAAATATTAGCTGGTCCCAGCTCGTCAATATGCAGATTTGCTTTGTGTCTTTGTTATATTTATGATAGTAAATAAAATATGGTTCAGTTTTGAATTGTGTGGAAAAAAATATCTTATTTAAACCAATTTTGAGCCACAATGTTTATATGTCAGGATACTAAGATTTACTTTATTTAGTCTTGTATGTTATTTTACTGTAATTTATAGCTTTGATGTTGTCCCTTCAGATTGAAAAACAGAGGCAGTACCTCCAACACATCTGGAGAGACGACCGCAAAGGCTCCATTCACGATTATGGCCTTCCACCAAACTACGTTCCCCAACATCTGGTCTCACTTGGAGGCAGCAGGCAAGTAAATACAGAAGTCTAACTACTCTGGATGATTTTGGAATCCTCAAAAGTATATTTACCTTTCTTGTGTCGTGTTTGCAGCCCTGCATTGATGAACATTTTCCTCCTGGAGGTTCATCCGTCCCTCTGCCTGGCTGCTGCAATCTATCACAGTTTAGTTCAGGCTCACACAGAGCTCTGTCAGCTGCAACGAGCCACGAGCATCACCGACAAACTCACCCTGCGACAGAAGCTCCTGCAGCAGGCCCTGCAGAGCTGGAACAGCCTGGCTTCACCCGGAGCCTCGTACAGCGCTCAGATACAGAAGGATGTTAGTCTTTCTGTCTTATGTATCTCTTTAAATCAATTCACATAAAAAGAAATAAAAAAATAAGTCTAACCTCCTTTTGTCCACTGCCAGTTGTTTTCAGATGTGTTTTTTGAAGACCCGATTTTGGTCCAAAAGGTGGGGCTGTCTTTGGTAAGATCTGCAGAGGAGGAGGATGTGACACAGGGAAGAGGGAAACAATTGTTTGCTGTGGAAACTTTCTCCAAGCTGCTGGAGCTCGTCACCATCCGCCACCGTCTGCTGGAGTCGGCCTCAGAGACGGCACATCTGGCACAGTTAAGATAAACTCACACCAGGGTAAAAGGGTAGCTGCAAACTCAACTGTGAATTATGGTTCGAGAATCATGAGATCAAAGATTTTATCCTAGAAAAAACCTAATAACATCTTAAACTACTCAAAATCTAAAATCCCTGTTGGTTGCGGCACCATAGTATGAAAGTTATAATTATTGATTTTCTCAGGGGTTTCAGATGTCCATAATAATAATAATAATTAATATGTTCATTAGTACTGGAGTGATAGAAGGGATTATGAATGTGTATACACAGGTATACTGAAAGATATAGAGCTAGGCAGTCATATCCTGTCTTAATTATTTTCTATGCTAAAAAATCAGCCAGTATCAGTATCTGACTGTATAATGTATAATGGATATGTGAATAAAAAGCCATTTTTCAAAAGGCTTTTTACTTTTTGTCATTTTATCTGCCGTTTATTCCCAACATCAGATCAGATTCAGAGCTGCTCAGGGGACAAGTTTTCTTCCTAATGATTCATTATAATAATAATTATATAAAAATTCCATTTTGTCCACAACTTACATTAAGTTAAAGACATTTGATGTGTTAAATGACAGCAATAACATGAACTCTCATCAGTTTTCTGAGTAAAGACAAAAAGAGCCGCTCTCGTTTCCTTCCATGTAATTTCTGTAACCTGAACTAAAAGATGAGGCCATAGAGTATCAATATTTTGTCTGAAAAAAAAACCTAAAAGATTAGTGTGAATTATGCGGGAGGTCAGAGGTCAATAATTTATTACTACTGTTCAGCCACATCTTCCAACATCCACTAGCGTAAATGTCAAGAATTATTTGTTAATAGTCTGGGAACATGTGACAAGAATGTGAAAGACTGTAACACTGAATAATTCCATACAGGTTGTACAGAAGTGTGGCGTCGGAGCTCGGCTTCGATGACTTCCACCTCTATCTGAGGCCGGTGCAGTTTGAGGTCGCTGAACAGAAAGACAAAGCAGAGCAGAGGCCTGTTTTTATCACAGCGATACTGGAGGACGACAGCTCTGTGGACAGGTACATGTACCATTTGGACATTATTGACACATCAATTATTAATAATCTAACAGCTCTTATATCAGTCAGTTCACTGAGGCCTATCTTGAGGAAGCTGTACCTGTAAAATGTTCTAATAAAAGATAGGATTTGTCTTCTAATCCAGAAATACATGTGTCCCCCTTTTAGCCCTATAGTTCTATTATTTCTGCTTTTCTACACGAGCAGTGAAGTATGTTTGAAAAAGGAATTAAAGTGCACTCTCTGCTGCAGGTTCACCCCGTCCCACCTGCCTCTGAGCATCCGGGAACTGGACGAGAACCAGATCGGGAGGTTCAGCTTCAGCTCAGAGGAGGCAGTTATTCATGTGCGTTAGAATTAAATTAAATGCTGAGGTTTATCAGCCAAAATCAGCCTGTTTTTTGCCTACTGAATTTATCCATTTTCTTATCTCTTCCCAGCTTGTGAACAAACAGAGTGTAGAAAACCTCCAGGTGACTCTGGCCTGTCAGGTTACACAGAAGAACGCTTTGATAAGTGCAGTGAAACTGGTTTGTCTTTGTCACTGGGCAGAGAGTGAGACGTCTTCAGCTGAGGTCTGTATTGTTCAGTGATGGAAAGTACATTTACTTACATACTCAGACTCACATATAAATACTTTTTACTCCACTAAATTTATTTGACAGCTGTAGTTTTTAGGTGCTTTTCAGGTTCAGATGATATGATATGCTTATAAAATATACAGTTTGGTTCCCAACCTGTTTTGGCTTGTGACACTTAAAGATGAACCAATAGACTTAAATACCTAACTGCATATTTAATTGACAAACTAGCTCCCTCTCAACCAGCTACAACACTTATATGATACATTTTGCTGGTAATACCTCTGACAAAAGTTTCTACCGGCTCGTTTCATTGATTTCAAGGGGAATCTGACCAAATCCAACCCGCTGGCAGGCATTAAAAATAAGTATTCAGAAATAGCCAATCTTCTCGCTGAAGGTCTTGTTTGTTTCATATAGAGGCATCAGTATTAAATTAAGACTGTTTTATAACCAGTTAAAAAGTTCTATTCATGCTTTTAACAAAAATACCAAAGCTGTTCTGTTTTCCAATTTACTCTCAGAGGGAAGCAGCCTTTCGTTCTAATGAAGATGTAAAATTTGACTCCAAACGTGGAATCGACACCAACAAGCTGCACCAAGAATCAAACTCTTCACCCTCAAAAGGTTCAGCAAGAACTCCCACCACGACCAAGGAGAGGTAATTTTCCCCACTTGAAGAACCAATTACACTGGCGATGATTAACAGCGCTTTTGTGCCAGCTCTTTGATAAACAGAATCTTGTTTGTTACTCCAGGCTGATGGAAGCATTTGTGTCCATCCAGCTGGAAAAAGTGGGCCTGCGTGACGAGATGCTGAATTCATTTATGAAGAAGAAACAGGCCGTGGGGGGTCTTATGAAAACCCCAGTGAGTTGGACACAGTGGTAGATAATTCTCAGACGGCTGAGCAGGATGATAAATGTAATTGGCTGCCCATGAAGTAAAATTAATTTCTCTCACACTGCAGGAGGAGGCTGCGAAGATCAAAAGGAGGCTCATAATCGACTTTCTCAAGAAGTATGTCCACGAAAACATCTGCATTCCTTTTGTTACAGGACAATAACCCTGCTGAGTTTTTCTCTCACTCTACATGAGAGCATGTTGGAGGTAAACACTGTGTCAAACTGTTTCTCAACAGATTCACCACACAGATATCTCAGTACTGTGTGAGAGCGCAGATTGTTGCATATTACTACCATCTATCCTTCATTTTGGACGACAACCCCTCCATCTGTCAGTTGCACTTTGTGATTGGGCGAGCCGGGAAGCCCAGTGTTAATCTGGATTCAGGAGCTGACCTTTGCCCTGACCCCAGGTACAACCAGTTTAGATTATCTGTATTATTAATGTGCAATTGCATGCAAATCAATACTGACTACCACTACTGAAGAGACAACATTTCTACCAGATTGTTTCCAGGTTAAAATTTTTAAAAATAGTCCTATGATTCAATTCAATTTCAATTCAATTTTATTTGTATAGCGCCAATTCATAACAAAAGTTATCTCAAGACACTTTTCAAATAGAGCAGGTCTAGACCGAACTCCTTATAACATTATTTACAGAGACCCAACAATGAACACCCTATTTAAAGAAACAATATAAAAATGGATATATAACCTATGTAACATACTAAGCGTATTGTTGCCATGCCGAATCATTTCATGTTATAACGTGAAACTTTTCACGTTATAACGTGAAATGTTTTGCTCTATATTAGGATAAGGACTATATTATAATACTATAATACTGTAAAAAGACAAATGTTTGTATATAAAGTGATGAACATGAAAAAAATAAAAGATTGTTATAACAATAAACTTTTCTAGTTATGGTATATGGTATATATATGTATATATATATATATATATATATATATATATATATATATATATATATATATATATATATATATATATATATGTATATATATATATATATATATATATATATATATATATGTATATATATATATATATATATATATATATATATATGCAGAGTCAGTGTGTCAAAAGCATAAAAAACCTGAGAGGCTTTTCAAACCTTCCTCCCTAATAGGAGCTCCCAGTGTTGGCCGCAGCAGCTGTTGTCTGCAGACGGCAAAAATCTCCTCAACCTGTGGTTCGTCCCCCACTTCTCTCAAGTGCTTCACATGTTCAAAACACTGGATGTTTCGGTGAGATGCTTAAACACACCATTGAGACTGTTAATACAGCAGAACAACACAGGATAAATGTTGAATGAAGTGGTGCAGGGAGCTGGTAGATCAGTGTTTCGTGTTAGTTATAAACTACATGAGTGTCTTTAATTCACTTTTTACTACACTCTAAAGTGGAATTTATTTTGTAGTGTTTGTCAATGATTTGCCCCTCTGATGTTTCAACAGGAATGTGCTACAGCTCTCCATCACACTCTGCAGATAGTTTCAGCTCTTCATGACATTATTTATTACCTGGTTAGTTTTTCCAGACTGGGAAACACAGAAGACTCCCGCAGCAGCAGGAGAGGACAGGATGCACCCGGCTCACTAGCAGCTGACTGGGGAGGCACTGAAGGCATTGGTAGGTGGACCTCATACATAAAACACCTGATCATAAGTAAGTGTTAGTAATGTTTGGCAATGGCAGAAAAACCAAACCTTTTACCTTAACGTGGCTGCTGCCCTATCATTAGCTAGTCCGATGCTAAGTGAGAGTTTTCTAAATGTGTGTGTGGCTGGATTACATTGAAATACATTAAAGAAATGATGCACAAAACAGCGTCAGTATTTCCATTTGATGTAATGTAGCAGTCATATTGTCCTGGGTTTGAATGTTTTACTTTGTGAGCCTCATATAGCCTCAGTCAAGGGTTGGAACAAGCTGATTCAGGCAGTTTTCTATAGTTAGGAAAGTTAGGAAAAAAGAAGCTTTGGGGAATTTTAAGGTTATATTCCAGAGTTAAAGAAGTTACATAATTAATTGATAGGGAACATACATGACAGGTTGTGTTGTGTCTGGAGTGTGAACGAAGCCAAAATGTATGAGCAAAATATTTTACAGACAGCTTTCATGGTCAGTTAAGAACATCTGTTGAATCTCAGCTCGTTTAGTATCCAATAAAAGACCAATATAAACCTGTATGTTGACAGTCAATCACAGTAATCACGTTACATGCATGTGTCGTCCTCTCTGGGTGGCGTACAGGAGCAGAGCTGCTGGAGATCCAGCGTCAGGTCGACAGTCTGTCTGATCCCAGCAGCCCAGAGTCTGTCGGCCGTCTGCTGCAGCTGCGCAGGCAGGTCCTCCTGCTGCAGTTTGATACTGCTGTCAGACACCTCATCAGGTCTGTAAATGTGAGGAGTAAAAACTCTTCATCGTGGAGTTCAAAGTTTCCCCACTAATTCTTCACAAAAAGATATTTTCCTTTCAGCCAGGCCACTAAACAACAATCTTTGGTAAAAGTAAAAAGGAGTATTGGTGCATTCACATGAATTCCAACAGATGGTAGACAGCAAACTGGTCATGTTAGTGGATGAGAGCAGGACGGTAAAAGTAGGTGAGGACGGCAGAGAATACCGGCAACCCTAACAGTAGACGCAATGCCGTCCCCTGTTCTTTTAGTTTTTCCCGTGCTGTCCAGAAGGTGCTGAATGCATTTAGCTCTTCACTTTAGCAGTTAATTCATATTGTCCCATTTTCTTCTTGCTTAAGGCAACTTTCAATTCCCTGATTGATCTTTCTACAAGACCTGGTAGAGACAAATTAGTGGTAAAAACTATTATAAAATCGTTGTTCAGTCAGTTTAAACACATATTTGACATTGCATACTGTAGGTGTGTCCTGCTGACATGGTATTGCTGCCTGTCATTCCTCATCTCACTCCCCACATTTCATCATCTCTTTATGATCTGTATCTAATAATTTTATCAAAGTATTAATAAAAACCCTCTCTGTTGTGTTTGTCTTGTGTTCAGGGAGGTGTTCCTCTCCTCTGGTGATGTTGCCTCCTACCAGAGTGTGAGCGACAACATGGCGACTGCCCTCCCCCTGCTGAGTGACAGTAACCGGACTGACGTGTTCAGTCTCACGCTGCCTGTTCCTCGACCTCTAGAGACGCGAGGCTGTCAGGTTGGTTCAGCTATGTGACGCCAGTGAACAAATATCATATCAGTTTAAAGTGTAATACTACATGTCAAGATGAAAGGGGAAATGTTATTATATTTTATTCGTCTCATATCGTCTTTCCCCTGCAGGCACAAAGGATGTATCCATGGAGATGTTTCATAGCCTGGCATGGGTTGTTCCCTCTGCATGTTTGGGACGTCACTCCCATCGAACACTGCATGCAGGTTCAACATCTAATATGTTTCATCCTCTTAATGGTGTGGCCTCAGGGTGGGAATGTAAGATTTCTCCATAGACCGCATTGCCATGAAATTTGAGGAAAGTATTCTTAGTCCCCAAATGATGATACCTAATGACTCCCTCCAGCACTATCATCGGGACAAAATGATCACTAGTGCGCAACAAATATCAAATTGTAGCACACAGATTGCTGTGAACACACAATCATGCTCCCTACATGATGAACCCCTCAGGACAAATTGTTAACATTTCATTATCTAACACAGTGGTTACCCCCATGTACCCCCTCCAAGCACAAAACATTTTTGGTAGGAAAAAAAAAAGGCAATATAAAGATGTAGGCCACAATACAGAGGTGCACCATCAGAGTCTTATTCATTATGAAGAACACCGATTTTTTTGCAGGATGCAATAACACTAAAACAGCGTTGTAGTTGCACTGAACTGCGTCTTTTTGATGGGGGGCACTTAAAATTTAATGAAAAACACGATGCTTGTGCTGTACTGAGGATCTTTCCTTATTCTCGGTGGCAACTGCAATCCTTTTCCAGAGGTCTTACGGCAGTCAACGATTGCTTTGTGTAGGAATATTTCGTATAAAATGTGGTTTATGTAGCATTTACATTTAACTCATAGTTACCATTTAAAAAATGTTGTCATGTCACTGCAGTACTCCAAAGTACCCCTAGGTGTACCCCGTACACCGATTTGAGAAACACTGATCTACTTGATTGGCTTGCTGAGCACATTCAAACTCATGTAATCTCTCTTTTACATCACCTGCAGGACACACTTTACATTTTAAACCGCTACAGTCGAGGCTAACAGCAACAATATTTTGGTTCTCAAATTGATTTAACTTCAAATGACTTTATGTGTTACTTTAAACGTTGAGCTGCGTCCATTAAAAGGTGAATTAGAAAGAAGATAAACTTACTCTAACAGACAACAGATAATTCAGAGTGTTTGTGTTTGTCTGCAGCTGTGTCTGAGCGGTCTGAGTGATCGCAGCCGACTGCAGGCCAACGCAGCGATCCTCGGCGTGTCGCTGCTCATGGAGGACGTCCTGAACAGTGGAAGAGAGGCAGAGCCTGTTCGTCTCCATGGCAACAGAGATGACCTTCTGCACGATGGAAAACCTAATGAGGTAAAAGACTGTTTATAAGTTGGCAATTGATCACTAATCAGGCAAACAAGACAGCATAGATCTGCGAGTTAATTCCTTTAATGTATCAAAGAGGCCTCACACACTATGTTCTGTCTTTGTTTAAGGGGGATGAACTCAGCTTTGGAGCTGAAGAAGAGGAAAAGACTTGTGTCTCCACGGCTCCTCTTCAAGGTCCGATCAGAGTCCAGTCTGTGCTGAAAGGTTTCCTCCTGCTGACGAAGCAGCTGCAGGTGTTCAAGGAGAGCTGGGCCCGAAGACGTCTGGGTGCTCAAATGTTCAGAACGCCCAGTTTGTATCAACAGTTCATGAAACTCTACAGGTACTGCAGTTCAGAGACAGCGAGGATTGTGTTACATTCACACAGGTTTGTTTAGCTTTTGTCAATAAATATCAGATAGCAGCCAGTCAGCGTAGATAGATACTGAATATTGCTACAAAACAGTTTAACAGTACATGATAAAACAATCTCACCATGAGGTCCATTAAGTGGCTGTTCTAAAGCTCTCAATCATATCACATTTCTTCATCAGCTTCATCAGCACTTCAAATGCAATCTAATGTCAACTGGGAAATCTCTGGGAAAAGATCATGTGATATGATTGAAAGCTCCAGAACAGCTACTAAAAAACAACAACATTGTGGGTAAGAAATTATGTAAAATACACTGTTTGATCCCATATTTAAATTTGTTGTACTCACTTTACAGAGCTGAAATATTTTACCCCAGCATGAGAGCTCTGGCTCAACAAATGGGTAAGGAGCGGGACTATGAGGTCTTACTTTCTGGCAGCCAGTCTCTCCTGCCCCCGCCTAGAGCTTCAGAGGTTGACGTGAAAGCCCGGCAGGTACAGTACGACTACTACCCACATTACTGTCTCGTGTCTTTGTACCTTGTAAAATATACTGCCTCCCTCTCAGCTTCACAAGCTGCTGGAGAGCACCGAGTGTGACATGATCAGAGAAGTGCAGAGGAAGATTAACAGAGAGCTGACCCTGGTGGTTTCAGAGCGAACTCGACAGGACACAGGCCTCCCTACAGGTGCCCAAAAAGACACAAAATCTACCTTTTAATACAGAAGAGAAAAGTATAGAATTGAATTGACAGTGAAAATATTCTGTGTGTGGTCAGAGCTGTGGAAGAAAGCCCCACTGAAGTACAGTTTGTCTCCTGAGCGGCCGCAGATTGTGGAGATGTTCATCCAGCAGCTGATGGAGGGAAGTGAAGACGCTGAGGGACAGGTACATGGGGTGACATGTCAAGTGTAAGATATTTTTTAGGGGCTTTTTATACAGGTGAAGATAGACAGGAAAGGAGGGCGCGTTAGAGGGGGGTTAACATGCAGCAAAGGGGCGCAGGTTGGAATCAAACTCAGGCCGCTGTGGTAAGGACTAATGGGTTAGGGTTATGCTCTACCATTAATTTAGATTAATTATGCAAAAAAAAATTGTTAAAAAAACAATTTATTGATTTCTAATGTAACCTTTAGCTATTTCCATTCAGCGCTTAACTCTGTGTGTACTACGTGCCACAATAATGTCATGTTCTTAAGTTCAAATATCTTCATTTCCAAGCAAAAATTGATTGTGATTAAATCAGCATATATTTCTGCCACCCCTTAAAGTCTCCATGCCCTTTTGCCACCTCATGAATATTTCTCTAGATCCGTCCCTTGTACGATGACTTATGATATCAGTGTAGTAAAAAGAGCATTACTGTGCGTCCATGCTGAGTAATAAGCCTGCTGAGTGTCTCTTGTTTCAGCTGAGGGTCTCTCAGGATCATCTCCAGCAGTGTCTCACTCACCTCGGCTGTTCTCTGATGGAGAGAGAGCGTCGCAGCTTCCTGCTTTACTCTCAGTTTTATGAACAGATCCTGCAGCAGGAGACTCAGCTCCTGCATCAGAGAGAGCAGGTACACGTGGGCATTATTATTACATTTTCATAGCTTCATGGCTTCATGAGTGTATTGTTCTTTAACATTTTGTATGGTCTCATTGTGAGTTCATTCTCTTTTTTATTTTTAACTGCAGGATTTAAAGAATCTTAAGGACTCTCCATCCAGCAGCTCTCACAAAGAGGTAAACACTGCAATTACAAATGATTTTGTGGGTCATATGAAAAATCATGTGAGATAACGTGACTTAAATCCATATCTTTTGGATTTCATGTGGGATTTCCAGCTCAACAGAGGCAGCTGGGAAAGGGTTTTTTAGCAGCAAGACTCGAGAAATGGAACAGTTAGTCCAGAGGGAAATTAATCAACATAAAGTGTCTGTATCTCGCCAAATATTAGATGTATTATCATGAAATCTTGAACAGTATTTGGACAATGCCTCATCAATAAGAAAAATATTTTATATGTATTGTAGGTAGCTTTTATATATGTATTTATTTCTGTTCCCACTCTTTATAAGAAATCATTTTTTAAGACCCTTTCCAGGATTTTTTTATTGACAATACAGTAGAGCTCCCCAAGAGTCATATCATTTACTGTTGGGCTCATTTCTTTTTTAAAGATGCAAGGTTCATGATAAAATCTCTCAGGTTGATAACAGGTAGGTGGTTTTTCTGCTGCGCTCTCTGGCAAATTGACTACAGTTTACAACAGTCCTCTCACCATAACATTATAGCCACAGCCCATAAGTAACAGTTTAAATCAAGTAGAATTTATCTTGTGTCACATAAAATTTGGCGAGATGAGTGAGGAGCTACAGTAAAAATTTAAATTGCAGGTTGACTGGAAAACTAGTCTCTAAATGTTCATGTTTTCAAGGTTTTACAGGACGCGTAGGAACCCTGACTATTATTGCATGTCATGAAATCTAGAGTTGTTTTAATGATATAACAGGGAAATAAAATACTAAAATCAGAATCAGGTTCATTGCAAACTAGATTTTCACATACAGTGAACTTGCCTTTGTATTTTGGTGCTCAACAGTAATCATAGGAAGAGAAAAGAAAAAAGAAAAGTACTAAAAAAAGTTAAGAAGCCTAATGTAAAATAGAAAAATGTGCACTAAAAAGTAAATAAATGAAAAGAGCTTTACAGCGTTTAAAATAAAGAGGAATGAATGTGCAAAAGTTCACAGATTAAATGAATAAAAAGAATATGTGCAATAATAATAATCGTAACATTAACACGATAAATCAGATGTGAGAGACTTTTTAATGACTTTGGGGATCCCAGCATTCTCCTTATCCAACACTTTATGACCTCTAAAACTTCCTGTATCACCGAATTCCTGCCAGCCTCAGCAGCACTTGTTTGACCTGATCTCAGTGTTTCTGTGCCGTGTTACTGTCCCACAGGTGGCTGCTGTTTGTCGTGGGATGATGTTGGAGATCTCAGCGCTGCAGGCCCAGGTCGCTCACCTGGAAGAAGAGAAGAGAAATCTAGAGGAGAAACTCAGTCTCAAATTCAGAGAACGCTACGACCCTTTGGTCCGACACCTCTTCTCCTCCTGCGTCCAGCTAAAGGTGAGATTTGTTTTTCCTGATTCTTTGGTCCAACATAACCAAACTCATCTTCAAATTTAGAGGTTTGTGCACCTCTGACTGATTTCTACTGTTTCTAGTATTAAATTGTAGTTTAGCAGCATTAATTGTCCAATTTCCAAGTTTCAGATGCTTACATTTTGACCTTTACTCATCCTTTGTTCGTATCTCAGGCCAGGCTTGATGAGCACCACCGGCAGATGGAGCAGGATGTGAGCGAAATGGTGAACAGAATAAGAGGCGAAGGAGTGGACAGAATTATTAAACTCAAGAAGATGTACAGCTGCACCAAAGACAATGATGGACTCACAGTCACGCAGTTAAAGGTACAGGAAGACAGATAGCGCCAGAATCTAAACTTAACAAAAATTGATAAGTTTACACAGGTCTTTTATTTTCTAAGGCAAACAAAAACACTGCATTATTTCATGCAAGAACAGACACATAAACATATCGGTGTGTCCTACCTGTTCTGTTAGAAAGAAGAAGTCCATGAGTTGCACCTGGAGAACAGCCGGCTGACTTCTCTGCTCTGTAAACTGAAGGCTCTGAGCAGCTGGAGGCAGCTGGTCGACCAGGAGAAACTTCACCGACAGCTGCTTCAAACTCAGCAGGTCAGCAAACACAATATTCAATACTCACAAATCAAATTCATCCCCCCGCAGCGACAGGAAAGCAGACACACAAACAAACACCATGAGTCAAAAAGCTTGTGTTTTCCTGTCTGTGTCTACAAGCTCTTATCTAGTTAGTTTTTGACAAAGTGGCAACTTGAGTGGCTTTGAGTGACAGGTGGGTGTCATCACAGGCGGCTGTTTTCACTAACTTCAGTAGCGTTATTCAGCTCCACCCGCGCTCCATGGCTTTGCCCATTTTTGGATTAGCTGGTAGTCGGATGAGTCAGGACTTCCAAGGCAGTGAACACACTGAGTTTCACAACGGCTCTTTGGAAACATAGGGGTGACGTCACGGAGACGATGTCCATATTTAATCATACAGTGTATGGTCTTGACCTGTTTCATTTTTTAATATATGATATGTCAAAAGCATCATTGAATACATTTAAATATACTTAATTGGTTAAAACAAGCTTTATATTTTCTCTTTACTTTGGCAATCAGTTGAGAAAGTAAATTAACTTTGCTCTCTCATTTCCTTTTTACCAGATCTTTTTTATTTTCATTTAATTTTCCCCCCTTGTTGCTTATATGTTGATAAGAAAAGTGTGCATCAAACCTTACTTTTTAATTAATTAATTAATTTAACAGATTTAAAGTGAAGGACAATATATAAAGTATCTTTTCTTTCTTTCTTTTTTTACACTTTTTAATTGCAATATTTGTTACTCCTGTCTCTCCATACTCCTTTATGTTTATTTGAAGTTTTTTGTATTTATTTTACTGCCATATGTTTTTAATGAAACTCTTTTGAAACCCTGTTTGGGAAAGCAAACGTAGAATCACAGTATCACATTTTTCATGTTGTCCAGAGGGAGATTACCTGTCGCACCGACGCTCTCAGGGTGAAGATGACGTCAGAGGAGGAGGTGGTTTTCCTGCAGGAGGAGCTGGAGGCCGTGAGGAAGGTGTTGACCTGCTGTCAGGCCGAGTGCAGCAGCACCAAGAAGCTGCTCAGCAGGAAGGTACATAGTCGTCTCATCCACACTTCGACTGCCCGAACACCAACATCGACTGTAGAGAAAAACTCTCACACAGTTACCTCCCTGAGTTTAAAACATTTAGGTAAACTCTGTTTCACCTCACAGTCATTCATCTAATCTTGCTAGAATGAGTATAAATCTTATATAAATGTATTAATTCACAGATGGTTTACATATATATGACATGAACTTTAGTTAATAACCATTATAATCTTACATTTTAACTTAATGAGATTAGTATCTACTTATTCATAATTCCATAATCTTATTTTCTCAAGTATGTCTTCAAATTATTCCAACTTTAAAGGTACAATCCCTCTCTTTTTGTGATTTGACTAGTTTAAAATGTTTAAAGCATTAACAACTCAAAGGAAATTTGTGGATTTTGGGGCACTTTTTGGTGCAACAGTTATCAGGCAGGCTATCTTTAACGTGCACCTAGAACCTTTATAATGTAAGAATGTGCTGTGTTGTGAGCCTCATGGCTGCAACAAATGATACTTCTCATTATTGATTAATCTACCAATTAATAACAATTTAACAATTAATGGATTCACTGTTTAGAATCCAAAAAAGCTCATAGTGATGTCTTCATATGTCCAAAACATGTATTATTCAGTTTACTATCATAGGAGATTAAGATATCCAGAAAATATTCACATTTGCAGTGTGTTATGTTATGTTCGATTACTTTTATGTCAAGTGACAGATTATAACAGCTCTAGTCAGGTAGAAAGTTAAAGTAGAAAATGTTGTAGATTTGCTGTATTTGAAGTATTTCTATGATCACATATCACATCCTGTATTGTATTTATGATTGTGTGCAACTACAGTAGCACATTATTGGATTTCTAGTGGCTAAGGACTTTACTTGCTTCCGCATCCTTTCTAACTCTTAACTATACTAGTTACTATCTTAACTAAGTATCACATTCTGCTCCTATAGACTTACATTCATGTAAAACTCTATAATGAAGTTTTAAATGTCAAACCCTGGAGGCGTAGAAACTACAGAGCTGCCAAGTGCATCCTGGATGAATTCATTAAATACCCGCTGATACACAGACAGCGGAGCTCCAGGTGTCCAGGCATCAGTCTGCACAGGAGGCCCGCAGCAGGCAGGAGCTGGACAGCTATCGAGTGCAGAGCCTGGAACAAATGAGAGCCGACATGGAGGACAGAGAGACACAGCTCAGGGCGCTCAGCGAGCAGCTGGACAGAGGTAGCAGGATGAACCAGCTACACCGACAGCGCAGCGCCAAAGAGATCCGACAGGTCTGTAAATTATCTTCATTAGACTAATGTGTGTGTTGGTGTGTGTGTGTGTGCAAATACTTGTCCTGTGAAAACCATGTGCTGTATCTGTGCTGTAACCTTTTCAGGTTTGTGACAATACATTTTTCAGATAATCCAAATGGGTCTTTATTGTTTTTTGGCTTAAGAAGGAAAAATCTTGTCTCAACCGATCAGAAAAGTTTTAAAATCATCACAATTTCCAACTCTAGATTTTCACTGGATGGCAATGATACACAATTACCTGTATTCTTGTTCAAGTCATTAATGTATTTTTTAAAGTCACTTAAACAAAACACATGAAGAAATTACTTTTGTGTTTTAGTGGCCGAAGTAAAGATCACAACAATTTTAAGTTGATTTTTTAATTATATATTTCTATAAAAGCAACATTTGGAGAACCATTTCAAAGTTTCTCTCACACTGAATTACATAAAGAACAAAAAAAATGCTTTGGAGCTTTTAATGTTTAAACAAAAAAATTTAATTTCAAGATTTAGCATCTGCAGCCATGTGTCATCAGCCATAAATTTAGACCTGATGATGGTGCTGGAAGAAAAGCAAGGGTATCATAAAGGCATTATAATAGACCTTTTTCACAGCAGCCATTTTGACATGAAATAGTAGGGTAAACAAAGGTGTTACCAATAATACTATTTAAGTTCTGTTCCATTGGTTGCTGCTTTTTATGCTGCACGTTGGCTCGTTGGAAAGTCTCTGCTACACTAAATGTAACGAAACATGAATTAGTATCATTGGTAACGCCTGTGTTTACCTGACTATTTCACATCAAAATGGCTGCTGTGAAAAAGGACTATTCATCCTGAGGAAAACATGAACGTGTGCGCCAAATTTCAAGGCAATCCATCCAACAGTTAGTGAGATATTACACTTCAGCCTCATGGTGGCGCTGGAGGAAGTCAGTAGGATTCCTCCTCTGGAAATGTACGAACTTTCAAGGCAACCCATGACTGACAAGAAAACCTCAACTTTAAGGTAAAATAATACGAGATTCTTCATATTTTCTGGGTGTAGGTGAGGGGACGGCTACAGCAAGAGCTCACCCTCAAACAAGAAGCCTTTCAGCAGGTGGACAAACTGCAGAACCAGGTGAACGACATGGAAGCAGCTTTGTCCCGATGCACCTCTACGACAGGTACACATCGACAGAGACAAACAGTACGACAGATACTGGCCAATTCCTTTTTTCCATTTGTTTCAAATAATTTCACATGACATTTCACTCTCAATTCCATCACAGGCCAAAGCAGGGCTTATTACACGCTGTCAGTGAGCAGATTGAGTGCTAGAAGTCCCTCAGCAGGTACCGTACCCACCTTACCTTCATCTCAGAGCAGTGATAATCTGCAACACAAAAAAAAAAATAATATCTTGCGATTTATACCTGGATTTCTACCTGCTCATGCGGTTCAGGAGTAAAATTAAAGCCATCATGTTATCCAGATACTCATAGCATTTTGTGATTACATTTTAAATTCCATTATAAATCGTATTTTGGGAGGTTTAAAGCTCAGTCTTTGTTCTATTTCTGTCTCAGGTCCACGCAGGGCCAGTCAGCAGCAGTCCGCCCTGCAGCTTGGCAGCCTCACAAACTACGGCACACTTCAGGACTGTGCGACAGAGCCAAGACACCAGAGAGCAGAAACAGCCAGGAGCCGTTCTGATACAAGAATAGACCGACCGAAAGCAGTGAGTGAGCCCGAGAAGCACAGTGGAGTGCGTTACAACATGTTCAACTGAAGTTTAAACTCCTGAAAGTGCTGTAGGATGATAAAGTATGGGGAAGAGTTCATTTCAGTTTAATTATTGAAATTAATTACTGCCTTAAAGAAACAGTTTGGGAAATTTGTTTATTTGCTTTTCTGACAGTTCAATGTCGAACACTGTATTGTCAAGTTATGTAGATGTTCTGTATACCGTATGTTGATATATTTTACTTATATATTTGTATAACTTAGTATTGCCCAGCTGTACCTTAAAGCATGTTTTATTAGGTAAATGTAAACAAATGTTCATTTCTCATCAGTAGTAATATGCTCCAGAGTGCTGTTACACTGTCCTTGGATGAATACACAATCAACATTCAAATCAGCCTTTGTTGTTCTTTCAGGATCCGACTCGCCTGCGCGTCCCAACTGCTGAGACGACGCTACCAGACCTGTGAGGTTTTCCCAGAGGGTATTTTGTAAAGCAACACCCACTTGTTAACAAGTTAGCTGCTGTTTGACATTCAGGGTGCTCTCTGGTTCTGTCTTTAGTTGTATGTGAAACAAATTGTATCCGTGTTATTTTTAAAGCATAAACCTAAGTGAGGGTTTGGCTCATTTTCAATCATCATGGCATTTTATTATCCAGTTTATTTTAGATCATCATGTACTGTGCATGTATTCCCTTCCAAAAAGTGCAGTACCTTTACACTGCTTCCATATTTCAGCCCCATAGACACTTTTTCTTCATGTAAAATGCATTAATGTTAGAATACTTTCTATCAATTGACAATAAAATGTTGTATTCAGTTTTAATAAAACACAACATTGTGTCAGTCCATGATTTTGATCAAGAAATATTAACCTTTTGTTTTACTGCTGACCCCTTCCTAAAGCCCATCATAGGTATTCAGATTCAGATTATTTCACTTAAAGAAGCTCCAACATCCAAGACATGAAGTTTTGCTGTCAAACTGCAACTGTAACCAGCTTTTTGCATATTAGAACTAGTCTCATATGAGCTTATTGCAGATATATTGATGTTTTTAACTGTAAAATGTTCTACTTAGTTCATATTTCGGTAACGGTTCTTAAAACAAAAATAAATTTAAAGGATCATCATCAAAAATATTTGTGAACATGTTTACTGGTATGTAAAACATGAATATTAGGCAATTTAATATCGTTATCATATTTTTGTAACTCTCCAATATCTATGATTATCGGCTGCTTATTGCTGCTGCTGCATATCATTTATCTTCCAGTTGTTTTACCAAGAACATGTTTGTGAAATGTATTGCTATTTAGTAAGAGACTCAAATCTCAGTTTTCCAGAAGAAAACAACTTTAACTGTGTACGTAGTTATTAATGTAAGAAAATGTAAAGTTGCAGTAAAACTAAATAAGTAAGTAAAAATATTCGTACTCCATTATAATAGGATATATATATATAATAATATATACTAGTTTTGTTCATTCATTATTAATGTGCACTGTAGCAGCAGTATTTAGAGTGTGGACCTGGCAAACACTCAACTCTCCTGCGGCAGCCCGGTGGTGTACAGGTAGGAGACGGTCCCTGCCTGGATCTGAAACGTCTGTCCCTGGATGTGGTGGCTGGAGATCTGCTCGCTGGTCTGGCTGATGGAGATGGGCTGGCTGCTCTGGCTGCTGATGTGGATGGCCCGGCTGTGTTGCTCCCTGCTCACCTGCCCCTGCGAGCTCTCCTGAGCGACAGCCAGCTGCTGGATGGGCTGGGCCATCACCTGCAGCTGCTGGACGGGTCGCTGTGCTATCTGAAGGGGCTGCGGGGGACCGTGGTGGGCCTGTAGATGCTCCATTGCCTCTTTACTCAGAGTGATAACATGCATCTGCTCAGGCTGCCGTGTCATCTGGCCCTCCAGCGTACCGACAGTCTGAATCTGAGGGCTCGGGTCCACCACGGCGCCTTGTGTGACCAGAGCCACGTTCTGCACGTTTCCTGACGACTGGGTGAGGAGGGTGAGTCTGGAGTGGGCCGATTCTGTCGTCTCTCCCTCTGTGGTGATGATGCTGATCTCCTGGTCCTGAGCCGGCACAAAGTTAACATCTCCCGTCACCACCAGCTGGATCTCCTGTTCAGAGCTGGAAGGCAGCTGGTAGTCCTGCAGCTGGAGGATGTTACCCACCTCCTCCGGTGGTGCTGCGGCGTTCGATACCGCCGCGTCGGACGAGGCTTCTGTTGCTGCAGCTCTTTCCTTGTTGTGGGATTTGGTGTGTGTTCTCAGATTGTCCATGCGGGTGAACGACAGGCTGCAGGAGGAGCAGGTGAAGGGTTTCTTTCCCGAGTGAGAGGTGACGTGTCGTCTTCTTGCACTGGGGTCGGAGAATGATTTGTTGCAGAAGCTGCACTCATATGGCTTCTCACCTCTGCAAAAGGACATTTTGATTTTAACCAAGCGTGTTATCAATGTTTTTATACTAACAATGGATCAAAATATATATTATTATGTGTATATTATTATTTATTTCTCACTTGTGGATTCTGATATGAGTCTGCAGTGTGCTCTTGGCTGTGAAACACTTTCCACAAATCTCACAGGTGAAAGGCTTCTCACCTGTAGGGATATTATTAATGTCATCAGCCAACAGCAGAAAGTGTCTCATAAGTTACACAGTAATAATAGTTTTAAAAAGGTCCAGCGTGGAGGATTTAGTGGCATTTAGCGGTGTAGTTGCAGATGGAAATTCCCTCCCCTTCCAAGCTCGAAGGAGAAACTACAGTGACCGTGAAACTCCCCTATCTAGAGCCAGTGTTTGTCTCTTCTGGGCTACTGTAGAAACATGAAGTAAACACGTAGAGATAGAGGCTAATTTTAAGATAACAAAAACACAATTCCTGTATTCAGATTATACACTAATGAAAACATACCTATGAATTTCATTTCTGCCGATAGATCCTCCAAAATGTTACACACTGAACCTTTTATAGCTCAGAAATTATTTACAGATCTGTTCAAGCCTTGTCTGGATTTACCTGTGTGAGTTCTCAGGTGCTTTTTCAGCTGAGCCGTGTCCAAAAACTTGTGATGACACTGAGCGCATTCTGGTAACAATTTGCCTTTAATTAAAAAAGAATAAAGAACAAGTTATTCAGCCTTTTGGACTGACTGCATTCGAATTAAGCTCCTGTTGTTGAAGTGATGTGACTCTTACCTGTATGAACTCTGTAATGGCTTTTAAGTTGCCTGTTCTGAGTGAAGGTCTTTACACATTTGTCACAGCTAAATGGTTTCTTTCCTAAGGATGCAGGTAAAGAGACATCATTTATAGCAGAGTAACTATTTGATAAGAGTCACCAGAATGCAGTTTTCTCAAAAGACGACCAAATACACCCAAACTACACTAAAAAAATACACCTTTCCCATTTATTATGGATGCATTAAAGATGGGAAAAGGTTAATCATCAGAAAATAAATAGTGAATGAAGAACTAACAGGATGAACCCACCTTCATGGAGGTTCATGTGCTCTTGCAGGGTGTGTTTGGTGGAGAGCGCTTTGGAGCAGATAGTACAAACAAACGGCTTTTCTCCTGTGTGCATGCGCTGGTGAGACAGCAGAGCGTGCTTCTGGGTAAAACCCTTTCCACAAACCAGGCACTGAAAAGGCTTCTCTCCTGGGGGGGAAAATGATGACAATGAAGTAAACAGGTACGATATCACCTGCAGAGTAACAACAGTGAGGTTAATTTGTTGAGAGACATATGTTCAGACTTTTTTTCTCCCCCTTTTCCTAACAGAATCAAACATCTGTGATGGACGCTGTGTGAGTGTTAATTAAAGCCTAATCAGTCCTAACTGAGCACATCATTTTCCAACAATCTATAAAACACAAGTTGCAGACATTTACTGTTCATAGAGCTTTCTCATCAGCACCTCGGCCTTCTATGTTAAAGGGTTAATTCTGGAGGGAATAAGCTCTTATTACCTGTATGAGTTCTTTGGTGAATCTTTAAAAAGAGGTGGTTTTTGAATACTTTGCCACATTCCTCACATCGGGCCTCAGTGTTGGGGTATTTCCTCTTCCTGCCTCTCTTCCCAGGCTCTTTGCTTCCCGCCGTGTCGCTGGCCACCGTGTAGCTCTTGTATTTCACCGGTGGCCTGACTTTGCGTTTGCTCTGTCGGTGGGCTCCCGGGTTGTAATCCGCATCATCTTTAGGTCGTGACTCACTTGCTGCTCTATCCTGCCCCTCGTCTGAGCTCTCACATGGGGCACTACTCCCCTCCGGCTGGGTTACAGGCACATCCAGGTTTTTCTTTGGCCGTCCTCTTTTGCGTTTGGACAGATCTGGCACCTTTGCTAATTCTGCCTCCGCCTCTTTAACCGCTGCAGCAGAGCGTGTGAGTTCAGTGAGCGCCTTGACAAGGTCACTGACCTCCATGAGTCGAGCCGTGGCCAGAAGCTGCTCTGTGGCGTTCTCCTCCACAGACACCTGGGCGCTGTAGATGAACTCCAGCACTGCAGCAAACATCTTCGCTGCCATACCATCCAGCCGGTAGGTAGGTTGAGGCTGATTGTCTGCCGTGAACATGAGGGAGAAGTACTCGCTGCTTGCTGCCAGCAGGGCTTTGTGCGCCTTGAAGTGCACGTCTTCCACAACAAGGGTGATGTCGCACAGTAAGTCCCTTTTCCTGAGCTTGTCGAATTTGCTCAGGATGCTCTGTTTATGTGAATCTGAATGAAGGGCCATGAGCGATGAAGTCCTGGTCGTTGCTTTCTGAGACATCTCAAAGCAAACACTTCTGTTCCTGCAGGCAGTGAAAATCAACTTTATATCAAAAGAGACAGAATAGTGCATAAGACTGAGATAAAGAAACACAATATAGGATGTATTTTTATCTGTAAGTGTGTATTTCAATGTACAAACTTTAAAACTTAATCAATGCAATGTCTTTTAAAAGAAAAGCTGGGAAATACAAAGAACATCATCTTGTTTTAAGGCTGGAACTAATGATTATTTTACAGATCAATCTGTAGTTGTGCTGCAATGATTGGTCAATTAATCAAATAATTAGTTTAGTCAGTCAACAATCATATAAACGATTTTTATAATCTGTTTATCGTTTTAAATCATTTATATGAACACCAATCTGCTTGTCTGTGTTTTGTATGACTGTAAAGTGAATAATTGTGGGTTTTGCACTGTTGGTTGCACAAAACAAGCAATTTGTTTGTTATTTTCTCAGTTTATACACTAAATAATTACTTGATCAATAAAAAAAGAAAACAGATTAATGAAAATACTGTGATGTCTGATACTGATCTCAACAACCCAAATATATAATGTAAGAAAATAAAAAAGGAATCCTTACACTTTGAAAAACTCTTTACTGGAGTGTTTTCTCTTATTAAATAACAGGAGGGGAAAAAACGGTTAATTGATTGATCAGCCAGATAATTGTGACAATCAATTAACAATTTAAGCACTAGCGCTTGCAACCCTACACATATATTTTATTCACACAACTTAGCGCATTAATCTCTCTATTTTCTCTACGTTTAAGTGTCGACCACATTCATACAAAGTTCCCCTAACTTAACTATTAATCCCACAACAACAGAGGAACCTCCTGAACAACTAGCAGACAAAGCTAACTTACATCGTCTCTTAACAATGCATCAGCCGCTAGCTCGAAAACAGGCCACAACCAGCAGAAAGTAACAGAAAGTGTGCGACTGAAATAATGCGTTGAACTAACTACACTTCACTAGTGTTTATGTTTTGTAACAGGACCCCAGAACAGAACAGTGAAAGCACACAAAGCACCGCGGTGTAATTTAAAATAGGGAGCTTTTAGGACCTTACCTTCTAACTATCGCTGGACGGGAGGGCGAGAATGGGGGACTTATCGCGAGAGTTGACGGTTCTGACGAGATCCTCGCACAGCTGAGCTACACGTATTGTGGATAGCGCGAGCTCCCTCACCCCGCACAGCCGCATGTTTTATAGATCTAATGTTAGTTCACTGCCCGAAACCGGATACTTGTTTATAATGTTCAGAAACACGTAGTTTGAAGACATTATCAGCGCAAACATGCAGAATTTTTTTCTTATATTGGAATATTGTTTATTTAAATAATAAAATTGTCCTGAAAAATAAATAAAATTCTGAGGAGACTTTCTTTAGGACCTGCACGTCCTCCATGGCAGGAGAAATGAGTATAGGGGAGATTAAACCGTGTTTACATGCTTGGCACCTGCAGGCTCAAAAACGTTTGCCGACAGGCCTTTGAGCAAGAGATACAGGTAGGTGAAGACATTTGTTATACTATATGTCAGCCGCATCATTTAGAAATGTTAAAGACCTCCCTCGACAGGTTGGTTTACATGTACTCGCAGTGTAGAGCTCCTGCAGGTTGCACTTTGAAGTCTTCCAAATAAACTGCAATCGTTTAGTTATCAAATGAACAATGTACATACACATTATAGGAATAAATAAATGAGCTCAACAAAATAGACTTAAGCTACTATGTACAATTATATATATTTATAAACAAACAAAAATAAATAACATTTAAAGACAATAGTGCAATGGTTAATGAATCCAACCCTATAATGTGAACCACAAATCAACAACCAAGCTCCTAATGTTCGGGGCTTTAGGCTGTGTACATTAGGTGTTGGTACTTTACATGAGTATTTTTATTTTTATGCTGCTTTAAAATGTAGTAAAGTTATAGAGGAAAATATAAATATATGTTTTTCACCCCACTATATCTGTTAGTGCAGATTAAGATTTTACATGTTAAACGTTATAAAATATAATTCATTAGTACAGATTAAACTGCCCAACAGTTTATTAAGTAGGTAAAATTAGCCCCTTTAGCAGCTACAACATTAAGTAGTATGAAGAATTTAATAATATATAATAACACACAGGCCTTTCTGCTGAATACTTCTGATTTTGCATAATTTAAACTTTAAATGCATGACTTTTGCTGGTAATTAAATAATTTCCCAATGTTGTATGAATACTTCTACTTACACATTGTGTAAAGCTCTTCTTTCACCACTGGCCTCATGGCTTACACACTTCTAAAAAGACTGTAACAATGAGGAAGAAGAGAAAATAGCTCAAATAAGTCAATGCGGCCCTCAGTGCTTGTGGATAATTGTTGAATAGAATCAACATTTTTACACAATTTTACAACGAAGAAAAATCACTGGACAAACACTGGACCTATTTACAGCACTGAGCCTTTTTGGCCCAGTTAACAATGTCTGTTATGTAATGCATTATTACAATGAAGTAGGCTTTGTGCCACTGATCCTTGGACTGTGGGGTCAGTTTAGATGTTAAGGTTAGTAGTTGTGGATTAACTTTTCTTTAGAGCCGGTCATAATAAAAGTCGGCTTGCAGCAATCCAGCAGCATTTGACACAATTCTCTCTTCCAGTTCACCTCCAGGTTGAGACGCAGGGCCCGTGCAGGATGAAAAGTGTCAGGGTTGTAGTGGTGGGAGCGGGTGTGATCGGCTTCTCTACTGCCGTCTGCATCGCTGAGGCTCTTCCTCTCTGCTCCGTCACTCTGCTGGCTGACAAGTTCAGTCCAGAAACCACCAGTGATGGAGCTGCTGGGATCCTGTTTGCTGCCAAGTTTCCAGGTATGCAACAACCTCTAGGGTGAACATTATTTCTAATGCATATAAATTCATCTTCTATCCCCACCCTTTATATGTACATGCATGTGGAAAATTACTTATTTTACCGCATTTCTCTATCAGATATTCCCTTGGAAAGACAAAAATGCTGGTTCAAGGACAGCTTTGATCACCTGTTGGCCATTGCTCAATCCCAACACTCGCCGGAAGCTGGAGTAATGCTGAGCTCTGGGTAGGAATTGTTATATACACTTACTTAAACCCTTTGCGCCTCTAGGGACCATAGGCCATTGACAAATATCCTCCATTTCACTCGGAGCAGTTGGTATATAGGGCTATAAAAAGGGGTCGAATACTCAGCCAGGTCACTATTAAAACAGATCTGTTCGCACCCAGTGATCATCATTTTGATGTTTTTCCAGCTGGCAAATTTTCAAGGAGGTTCCAGCCGATAAGAAGCCCTTCTGGTCCGAGTCTGTGATTGGCTTTCGAAACATGACTGAGGCTGAATTGAAAAGGTTCCCGGATCACAAGTTTGGCCAGGCGTTCACCACCATAAAATGTGAATGTTCCAGCTACCTGCCGTGGCTCGAGAAGAGGTTTGTCCTCTATAATAAGCTCTCATTGACGTGTCAAAGGTGTTAGGTCATTATTATTTTTCTGCACATTTTTCCAACAAACTTAAAACATTTAATGGTAGTTACAGTTTAATTTATGCTTTGGTTCCAGGAAGATGTGAAAACAAGAGTTTGACCAGACTTAATGTTGTTATTCAGGTTCAGAAAAGCTGGAGGAAAAGTAGAACAGAGGAAGATCAACAATCTTCAGGAAGTGAGCCACAGCTACGATATCATTGTCAACTGCTCTGGTCTGGGCTCCAAAACGCTGGTGGGTGACAACATGGTGTACCCTGTTAGAGGCCAGGTCCTCAAGGTGGAGGCCCCCTGGCTGCAGCACTTCATCAGAGATGGAGACGGAAAGACCTACATCTACCCGGGCATACACAGCGTCACCGTAGGCGGCACGAGGCAGGAGGACGACTGGCGTCTACAAGTGGACGAAGAAGACACGCAGAGCATCCTGGTGCGCTGCAGCAGGCTGGAGCCGTCGCTCACCAAAGCCAAAGTTCTTAGCGAGTGGGTCGGTCTGAGGCCCAGCAGGAGGAACCCGAGGGTGGAGAGGGAGCTGGTGCAGCTGCAGGGTCGCAGGGTGCCTGTGGTCCACAACTATGGCCACGGAGGCTGGGGGGTCACCCTCGCCTGGGGTACCGCCCTGGACGCACTGGGGTTGGTCAGGCAGTGTCTTCGTGAAAAGCAGCTACAGGCTAAACTATAAAGTCAGGCCGTGTTCACACTTCAAGCCAAAGGTTTGTGTGTGACTCAGTCCTGATTTTTTAATGACAATGTGAACGGTACAAATCACATGGAATCTGATCTTTTCAAATCAGATACAGGTCTGATTTATGACCTCAGTGAGAACAGTCATATCAGGATTCATGAGACTTGTCATTCTATGTTTGTCATAATGGTACACTTCAGGACCGTGACCTGTACACACTGGAATCGGATATGGGCTGCATTAAAAAAATAATGTGAACAGCCAAACAAAACAAAACAAAATCAGAATTGAGCACTAAGGCTTGCAGTGTGAACATTAGTCTGCCACTGAACCCTGCTTTTACTGTCGATAACACTCACCTTTAAATCAAAGGACACACTGGCAGTTGGTTTAATCTCTGATCGAAAATCAAATTAAAACAATTAGTGGTTTATTTTACATTTTCTATATATGGAAATTATGTTAAAAACTACTGGTGAACAACTATTTGGACATACTGGGACTGGTCATGAGAGAATAAATCCTCCTTTTCCTCCTATTTGGTGCCAATAATACTTGCCTTTGAGTAGAAAGATCTGCTGTCAGAGAGATGAACTTCATGCAAACATACCAAGATTTATTGATGTGAGGCTAAAACAGTGATTAACAGCCTTGTTAGCTTTTATAATGTATATAAAAAAGAAACCTTTATTAATTAAATTAATGAACAGGAAAATACTGTACATAATTTACTGATATGAAACTGATGTGAAATAAACAATGTATGTTTACACAGACAAATTGCTTGCTGGGTTGGAATATCTTCTTTCAACTTCTAAAATGCTAAACTTATTCAACACTTTACATAAAATTGATAATTAATTGCTATCACTACTTGCAGTTAGATTATGCTGATAGAAACAATCTTTTTTCGAGTTGTCAAAGTAGGAAAAGCACAGGTGTTATTAATAACATTAACAACGGCTCTGTTCTGTTTAAGATTCAGATGGTTGCAGGGAAACGCTGCGGAGGTGTGAACTGGTTGTCTCAGCTCGACTGAAGCCGGCCGATGACGTTGCTTCCAACTCGGCTTGTCAAATCTCCGGTGGCTGGTTTTAGAACGTAAGGCATGTCACTCTTAAACCGAAGCAGCTAAATGTATTTACACATGTGCTTTTCTACTGTGACATATCAAAATGTCTTTAGTGAAAAAGGCCTGTTGTCAAAAAATACCGTAATGAATACATATACATACATATATACACATAAAAACAGTAAAATAAGCAATGCTGCTTGTGTAACTGTTGGTCAGACTGGATTCAGCTGAATGGTGAACATCTGAAACAGAGACTGGGGTATTTCCTTTCGACCATACTGTAAACAGACTTAGCAGGGTGTAAATAGGTACGTTAGCTAAATAGACATAACTGAACACTGTCTAAACTTCAGATGTCCTCAGATGTCCACTTCAAATCCATGCTTATGTTTTCAGAAATCCTTTAAATTTACATTTGTAAAGCGACAGTTCACTGTACTTTTGAGGATAATACCTGGTCAGAAATGACTGCAGTTACATTCGTTCTTCTATCAGGGAACCAAGATTTGCTGAGCTTTTGGATTTCTTTTTATTTCTTTGCATTTTCAGCCGTCGGGCTTCGGAATTGGCTGAAACTGAACGACTTGTTTTATCCGCTGATAACATGTGATCTGTGTAGTTGTACAAACAGGCAGTCTCTGTTGGTAAGGGCTCTTGGTGTGGGCGTGGTAAGGAAGGTGTAACTAAAGGATGATTGGAGATTTCTGCTGTAACTGTGGGTGGCGGCTGAAGGTGTGTACTTTGTGTTGTCGCTGTTTGTTTAGGGGCAAACACATTTACTGTGTCTGTGTTTAAAGTGCTGCACACAGCCTTGTATGATGCAGTTGGAGGCTGGGAGGGAGGAGACACGACCTCGCAATGTTTTTGAGGATTTACTGCATGCTGCGCTCTCACAGTCTTGACACTGGGGGTCAGATTCCAGTTTTTAGGATCAGTGAGTTGTCTCTTCTGGTCTTTGTGGAGGACAGTCAGGGAGCAGCTCCGCCTCAGCAGCCCTAGTGCTGGATCTCTTCTCAGCTCCATGCAGCTCTGGCTCCTAGCAATGGCTCCACTTGGAACGTGACCTTTCGCTGGGCTGGGGAGAGTTAAGCTGTTCTTGGGGCTTCTCAGTAACGGTAACACACAGGGCAGGTTTGCTTGTTTACTTTGGAGTGAAGTCTTACTGGAGCTGGTGGAGGTTAGGGTCTGTGGGAGGGCAGGGTACTCTGGGGACGGGAGGTAGCTTGACTCAAAACCAGAGGAGGACCTGCTCAAGCATGAAGATGTCTTTTTATCCCTTCCTGAAATAAACAAGTGAAGTGTGTGCAGATCATGCAGGTGTCGGTCAGCTGGGACATGTATTTGACTTAAACAGAACAACAGCAGAGCGCTCAATGTTGGAAAAGAGTGGCTGTTGTGAAAGGATGGCCGAGAAAAGGACAAGTTCAGAACAAAATCTAAATGTGCGCTAAAACATGAATGATGAATGAAAGAAGAGAAGCAAGCAGTCAAGTCTTGGTGAAGCATGGAGCAATTTATTCCTCACGCTCAACCATGACAGAAGCACACTTCAGAAAATGCTGAGACGTCAGACCTTCAACCTGCCACACTTCTGTCAGAAGTTAAAATGTGTTGAACCATTTTAAAGGTTGTCCTAAGTCTGCATTTTAGTGCATTTACAGTTATACAAAATGCCATATTTTAACAAGTATAATTATAGTATTTAGTAAATATTTTAATTAATCTGCATTATGCAGTTTTCAGGCACATGATAAAATATTGTGCAACGTTATATTTTACTGGACTAAAAAAATATACACACAAACAGCAAAATCTTGAGAGAAATACACTGTACAAGCTGATCTGACAAAGTTCCCTAACCCCATGACCTTTTGACATTCACAAGAACCCTCATTTACAGTAAACACAACTCTTTGCATTTTGACAATGTTTAGACTTTTTTTTTTTTTAAGACTTAAGCCGAACCAAATAACCAGAATAAGAATGATATAGCTATTAATAAAGCAAGCGTTCACAGTAAATATGTACTGCAATTACTGAGAATTTTTAAAAACTATTTAAATCTAATCACACGTCGATTCAACAGTCACCATTTCAGCAAACGCAAAAACCACCACACAACTCACAACTGCAGATCTATTTGTGAGTAGACCTACAAGCGGCTCCACATGTGAATAATGTCTTTAGAGGTCACTGCTCAGTTTAACATGATTTAAGTGAACTGTCTAGTCCCGTAACAGAGAACTTTGTGTTATACCATTTAGAAAATTATGCTTGTAAAGAAGGGCAAGTAATGTCAATTCTCAAAAGCACTGACTAGACAAAGACGGGACTGCAAAACAGTTTGATTGATGCAGAAACAGATGAAAGTATGACTTGAAGAAGAAGAAGAAGAAGATGCTTGGAAAAAAAAAAAAAACAGAGCACCAGAATAAATGTGACGATAGCAGAGTCTTTCCAGAAGAGCATGAAAACTGAATTTGGTGGCTTGGAATGCTCGAGCATCAAGAAGGACTGAAGACCAGACGAGTCTTTCTAGTGAAGGATGAGGCAGAAGAGGGCAGAAGAGGAGGACAGTGTTCACAGGCGACTCAGGCTGTCATTACCGTTCTCCAGGTTCTCATTACTCTCGTAGCAGCCGGAGTCCCGCGGGGAGTCTCCCGCGAGGCCACGCCTGTCCAGGAGCAGCTTCTCCTGTGAGCCTCCGGACCCACTGCCTCGCTCTGGGTCGCTGCTTCCTGCAAGGCACAACGCCACCAACAGGGGGCAGACAGTCACATCTTATGTTCTCAATAAAGACTGCAGGGGGGGCTATGGATGTTCTGTGTGTATGGGTTGCTTTTAAAGACAGCAGGGGTTGACATATTAACAGATCTTTAAAATTATGGACTGGAAATTACTAAGACAGTATAGTAGATATTCAATATTTAAACCTTGTGTAAATATTATGAAATTTGGCAAATGTGTCTCTGCAGGTATTTACGTGTGTTTTCCACACACAGTTGAGATATAGCACTCTGTAGATCACCTGACCCACCGTCATACTCTAGCAGTAGCTCCACAGCGGTGAGCAGCACGGCTCTGTGCTGGGCGTCTGTGATGTTCAGCTCGTCGAGGTCCTCTTCCTCTAGCAACTTGAATGTGTCCAGATCCTCATAGCCGTTAAAAAGGAAGGTGGGAAGATGCTCCTGTGGAGAAGTTACAATAGACATCACATCAATAAAAATCTATAGAAGGAATTAATTGGAACACGCACAATTTGAATAAGTTCAGAACTGCTCAAAAGTACCTTGAATTAAATTATGAAATAATTAGAGGTTTCCAAAAAATGTTCAAATTACAAATGTGCTAATATCTTTATTTTTAAAGTAATAATCCAACATTTTGGGACAAACACTTTTGTGAGAGGCTTTTGTGCTGAGACTTAGATGAGAAGCTCAATACTGCTCACACACCTGCACAGTAATATATATATATATCTAATATATAATCTATATAATAACATAATCTAATAAATCCATAATCCCCCATAAAACCACAATTTATTTTTGGTTTTTGTACACATTAAACAAATGATCTAAAATTAACGTGTTCATTACTGAGCTTTAGAGGTGATTGTCAGTGGATTTTTTTTAACCTTTGGACAAAGACGGTGTCTCCCCCCCCCTTTTCAGTCTTTATGCTAAACTAAGGTCGCTAAGCATCTCCAGATTATAGATTTGTATTTAAAATACAGACATGAGAGTGGTATTGATCTTCTCATTTAACTCTTGGCAAGAAATTGAAGAAGCGTATTTTCAACAAAAAAAAAACCTATTTCATTAAATATAGCAAAACAAATTTTTAACACTTCACTCACTGGTATTCTTTTTATCTAAAAATCTGACAAATTAAACGTCTTATGAACAATGAAAATCCCAGTACTGGTTTTGGTTAATAAAGTCAAAGTTATGCCTTTGTTTGAGCCATAGATTTTTGTAGTATGTTTAGTACTTTGAGGTTGATGCGATCAAGGAGCTCCTCTACAGAGGTGGGTTTGGGTTGCCGGGCCTTCCTCCTCCTGCGTGTCTTTTTGGGTTTCACCTCCTCTTCATTCAGGACATCCACATAAATGAACTTGAAGGTGCCGACTTTACCGTTGAGCATCCCCATCCACGTACCCATCGGGGGCTTACTAATGATATCGATGACGTCTCCACTCTGCAAGGAGAGACAAAACGAGCTTGAGTTTGTTAGAGGATATCAGCTCATCACTACGTATTGTGTGATTCACTGGGTCGATAACGTGGTCATACCTTCAGTTTGAGGGAGTCAGTGTCGTACGGACTGGGGGTGAAGTCAGTATGAACTAGAGCGCGTCCACAGAAGGGTCCGCGGTAAGGCAGCTCATCCTCCTCCCCGTCCTCAGACTTCACGCTCTCTCTGTTGCTGTTGGACGAGTCAGTGGTGCCCACCGTCTGACCACCTACACAAACCACAAAAAGACAAATTAGACACTCCAAGACCACAAGACTGCACGGGTCTGTTAGGATTTGAAAAATATTTTGAATGTGTCTTTTAATCTGACTGGAGAGCCAGATGTGACACGGTGTTCCACACAGACAAATATAGTGAGAACAAAAAGTTTAGACTATCTCAAAGGCGTCCTTGAAACACCTTTCTGATAAACACCACTCATCTGGTGTTCCAAGGCCAAGTTAAAACAAACACTGAGAATTATTTGCAAGTACACCCAGATCTGGCACATGCACACACTAAACACAAAGACATACTCATGGAACTTTGTCCGCTGAGGGAACTCCGCAGGCTTTCCACAGACCCTCCTGGCTTCAGTTTGGGTTTCTCCAAAGAGTCGGAGTCTGTCTGGGGCGAGTGAGGACAGCTGGATATGCGGTCTGGGCTTGACTGTGAGGCAGAGGGGAAAATAATTATTACCTATGCCTCAAAATCTTGTTTAACATTATCTATGCAAACTACAGCAGTAACACTGATTCTGTACTGTAATATACTGACTGTGCATACCTGTTCAGAGAGAGAACAGTGGTATCTCTTGGATATGTGTTTTCTCATAGTTTCTCTCACAGACTTGACTTTTTTGCCCAGGGAAATACGAGATGTTGGTGGAGACTTAATGGGATCTCTCACACCATCTCCATCTTTATTCTGATTTACACACACACACACACACACACACACACACACACACACACACACACACACACACACACACACACACACAAAAAAAAACACACCACACAAAAAGCAGAAAAAAGGCAAATAAGCAAACAAGTTTAACTATTGATTTAGTCTGGAAATTCAGGAAGAATGACAGTTACATACAGTGTTAGCATTGTCAGAAATGGCTGCGTGCACTGAGCGGTTGGTAAGGTCAAATCCTCCAAAGCTACAAGCTCTCTGAGGAAAAAAACATAAACAAACAAAAAACAGGACATTGATGAGATGTAGGTGAAGTTGGGGGTTTCCTTTTTTGACTGTTTTTTTTTTTATTGTTTTTGCAGCGGGTCAGCTCACCACAGATCCCCTACTGGGAAAACAGAAAACTTTCCTCAAAGCCACAGAGCGATTTGCAGAAGAAAATGATTGACTGTGATACAAAATGTACTGGATGATTATTTACTGAGGTGGTCAATTATTACTGAATCTAAAATTGGTTTGGACTGTATTTACATTTAAGAGGCATCAATGCTGGTACTTGAACCGTGCACACAGGGCAGCTTGCATAATGCGGATGGGTGTCAGTTTGGTTTGGAATTGATGTAACCAGTGTGAGACATTTGCAGGAACAAAATATAGAGCCTGAGCCGGAAGGACCACTTCAAAATAATAGGAGAATAAGAGAGCATTTTATGTACGATCAGCGTGTGGAGCTGTGTGCGGGGCCTTCAGTGAGCTGGTTATGGCGTTACAGTTAATATCAATCTCAAGCTATATTCTGTTTCAAAGTAGAATACTAATCAAAATGAGTTAGTTAGTGTTCAACCATGGAATTGACACTTTACGGCCCAAATGTGAAAAGTATAAATTCAATACAGTAGCCAAATCTTTCAACAAGGGCTCCTCTGTACTCACCCCATGGTGGCTGAGCGGGTTGAGGATCCGATGACGGAGCTCTCCGTCGGTCACTGAGCGAGCGATTTTGCGTTCCTCATCATTGCAACCCTCCATTTCGGAAAAGGAGGAGCTGCTGCCTTCACCTGCCTCCCTCACCTCCCCTTGCTACAGTCGTCTCCTGATGAACGGGGCTCCCACTGGACTTGCCGAAGGCCTGGAAGATCTTCTGGCTGCTGCAGGTGTCCAGGCTGCTGGAGGAGGGGGAGGTGGTCAGGCTGTCAGAGTCCCTGTCGTTGGTGAGCTGTTCCCTCAGAGCTGAAGACAGGGAGTCCACGGGGCAAACAGCAGGCTTCTTCTGCACACCTGAGTACAGGGAGGCGCTCGCATCTCCATAGGAAAGACCATCTATGTCTAGGCTCTCTGGAGGGTAAAAAGAGGAGAATGGAGGGAGGTAAAAATACAAGTTAAATGTAATAAAATCAACAAGTTTTAGATTGGACTTATTATTATTAAATATTAAATATCAGGTATCAGCTAGCCATACGATCCACTGCGGATCAGTTCTGTAATAAGTACAATTTCTATGCATTAACTTAATAATTCTTCTTGTAAAAAGTGCAAACTACCTTGATGGAAAGCTGCCAACTCAAACACTATTTAAAACATTTAAATGTTTTTTATGTTGCAGTGTGCTACAGTCAACACGCTGTTTCAGAGGCTGCACACAATCTACAGGCCCACCACGGATTACTTTCGTGTTTTGGGCGTCAAATTGTAATGTAAACATGCTGGAACAAAACACATGTTGGAAAAAAGTTAGAAAAGGGTATTCTTCAAAACATATATTCACAGACTAGACAACTAGTGAAAACACATGATAAATACTGTTATTGCAGTAAATATGCTTCGTCAAACAGTAATTAGATCCAGCACAATTACTGATATTTTGTCTAGACTTTGCGTCACATTCAGCATTGTCATGTCCCAGGTGCACCATTTCCTCTTTATTCTCAGTATGTTCTTACTTTAAACACCTGCTGGTTTTTACAACTTGGCTGAATGTAGAACAACATACCAACGAGATATTACCGGCATAAAAACTGCAACTTCTCTTTAATCAGGCAGCATGGCATAGTAGGACAGTAAAGAGGTAGACAATTCAGGAGTTTCTACAAAGACTTGATGAAACTATAAAGTCTACTACAAGGGGTTTAAGTCTGATAGTGGTTTTAGTACCCTCTGCTCCAGGCCTCTTGGACTCGTCAATCTTGATCAGCTTCTTCTTCACCTTCCGTGTTGAGTTGACCAGTTTATGGAGTCTCCTGAACGTCACAGATTCCTCTTGTTCATTGTCTGACAGGTCACCCGGCTGCTGGGAGAGACCAGTGGGATTTTTATTTATAGAAAACATTTATTCTTACCACAGAGCTTTGCAGTTATTGTAAAATAACACTTTGTGTCTACGACAGCACACTGTTACCAGTTGTAAGGCTTAATATTTTGGTATGAAAGGATATATTACTTGACACTGACACTTTTGATGTCTTTAGATGTAATACGTGAGCTTACAAATTTCAAGGTAAATTCTAATAATTGTTCTTCACTTCTAGTATTTTGTATGAAATGAAAAAGGTATGTAAACCACGTACATGTTGCAGATGCTGCTGCAAGAACCTGCTGTAGAAACCAACTAGAAACTACGCAGCTTTTTATAATATGTGGTAGGAAACCACAGTGGTGATACTGAGCCCCATACAAACAGCTGTCCCTTATGCTCTGCATCACAACAGACTACAAAAGGCTTTCTATACGTGGGAAAACGAAAACAGAGCTGCTTGGAAATCACCATCATATTAAATATTGGTGAGTGAAAATGTCAGTAGTTTATCTGAAGGCATGTATTGAGGTTTCATCTGCTGACCAAAACACAAGCGGTATGTACATTTCCCCGAATTCACATAAGAAGTAAAAATGAAAGCAGATTCGCAGTTAACATCACAGAAATTCAATGTAAGCAGGGACAGTCTCTAATTAAAAAAACAAGAAGGGAGGCAACATACAGTATGTGCGATCATCACACACATGACACAAGGAAAAAGTGAAAGAAGAACACACACAGCAAAGAGAAATAGTCAGGCCATCCAGACGAATCTGAAAAATGTGCCCTGAACCTGAGCCCCCTAATCACCCCACCCATGCATAAAAGAGCTGTTGCCTGCATAACAGGGCCCTGTGCTGAATCCACCCGCTCACTACAGCACAATAGGGGGTTAGCGCTTTGACAGCGATGAATAGAAGTCCGCCCAGTGCCCTGCAGTTGGGAGAAGGCCCTGAGCCTGGGCTTTAGAGGGGCCCCGGTTCATCGGTGGGACAGGGACAGAGGGAAAGAGAGAGGCACTGTCAACAGCTCAGCAGCCTTGGCACTGGTAGATCTGAGGCCCTCATGCACAACACGCTGCCTGAAGTTGTGATTCAGCATTAAAAAGCCACTAAGATGCCCTCAGACTGGGTGCTTAAGGACTTACGTTGCAGCTGAACAACTCATTTGTGGTGGGACTGGAGGGGTCGGTCCACTCAGTGGGGTCGGACCTGCACGTCTGTCTGTTTTGTGTCTCAAACTCCTTCAGCTGCAACAAAAGATGACCCTGTTAGTGCATGATGCAGAGTACATTAATCTACCAGCCCATGTGTTATTTATCCTTGAACTGCACACATAAAGGGAATCATTAAAACAGCATTCCTTTCTTCAGGGAGATAAAACCGTGCTTTGACCATGAGCCGTGTGCTTTTTTTAATGCATTCAGGTTTGCCCGCAGATTCGGCTACAATTTAATAATAACTTTTTGCAACAACAACTTAGTGTTCAGGTCTGAAAGTCTTGGTTCAACTGGATACTTGACCCATTTAGTCAATGGCAACAATCCCTTTTCTTAAAGTTAAATCAAAGGATAAAAACACAGCAGCTGTGACTTTCACATGACAGCAAAGTGGAGAATCTTGGGACACTTGACATCATACCCGTGCAAGGGCTTCCTCTATAGAGATCATATTCTCCTTCACCATCATCATCAGCTGGATACGCTCTTCGTCACTCATGGTGATTTCACTGGCCACAAAACCGACGTCATCACCTGTCAGGATAAAAAGAAGAAATGTCAGCTGACAAGACTAAACACATGACTATTTTAATTTCATTAAGACAAATCCTGTCAAATACCAAAAGATGTGATTATAAATGTCTTAGATACATATAATTCCCTTTTTTTTTATTGTCTAAACATACCTTTTGAAATCTGACGCATCACTCCTTTCTGTGACTTTCGAAAACTTTGCCAAATAGACTTGCTCCTTCTCTTTCCGTCCCATTTTCCTTTACAGTACAACAATTCAGTTTAATTTGTGCAGAGGGAAAAAGCATGTCTAAAACAGCATCACCACAAATCTAAACAAAAATATCCATAATATAGATAAACAATAAATAACTCCAGCACCTGCACTAAATCAATAAAGTATTAAGTATGTATGTAGTTCTAATTTATGAAAACATAGAGGCAATTTTTAGTATTTAAAAAGATCCGCTCCACATTGTTATTACTGCAGTCAAAGAACACCTCCAACCACTAATAAACGCAAAACAAAAAAATGAAGTGGCTGTTCTGTAGGCTAGGTTTAGTGTAAAAAAGGTTTGACACCAATCTGATTGTACATTAACTGAATGATGCATGTATTTAAGATTAATAACATTTTAACTTACCTCCTGATCCATCATCAGAGCTAGATTTATGCACAGGAAACCTAAAAATCAGAACACAATAATGACTTCATTTCAAGAGTTCAAATGAGGAATCAAAGCCCTGAACAGAACAGTACCTGTTGTCCAAAGTTATTTTCTTCATTTTCCCAGTTATCCCACCATCCCTCTTAACATATCTTTCTTTCCTCTCGACTTGCGTCAGATTAAAAAAAAAAAAAAAATCACAAACGTGCACTGTTCCTCATGACACTAGCATCATAGTGAAGAGAAATCAAAGTAGACAAAACAGATGAAAAAGACTGGCTGCTCTTGGCTGATGAACAGAGGTCAGTGCTCTACGGCCATCGCAGGAACAATAGAGTCTTTTTCATGTCCAGTCAGGGTTTTGCAGCAGCAGCAGCGCTAACGTGGCCTCCGCATTCCCTGCACACTTTCACCCTCCCTCTTTCTCTCTCTCTCTCTGTCTGTCTGTCACTCTTCATCTCTCTGGGCTGCTTGTTGTTTATAACTCTCTCTCTCTCTCTCTCTCTCTCTCTCTCAGTTGACACTTGCTGCTGGTGCTGGGTCAGTGCACGAGTTTGCAAACAGATCAGACATGTACTTTTGTTTTGCAAATGAGATATCAGTGGTAATCTTGTCCACTGATGAAGTTTCTCCCTGACCAAAACTACAAAATTGTAATTTATATGAATTTTGTATGTTTGGTTAAAGAATTGTTTCATATCTTAATGTTTCTTTTAAAGGCAAGTCATTTATTTCATTTTCTTGACACAGAAAAGACATGCTTTGCCTAGAAAATGTAATTACTCTCGTAAAGACATAGTCAGAATATATTTTGTGCACAATAAAATCTTGAACATTGTCAAAAAATCTACAGGAGTGTAAAATTTGCATGTGTTGGTTGTCTAAAAAAACCCACACAGGTTTCATTTTCAGTGCAGACCATGAAACATATGAAACACTTATATACCAAGCCACACAGTTCATGAAGCCAGCATTAAACCATGATACTCTATTCAAGGTTATAGAGTGAGACATCAGCACAGTTTTCCCTCTTTCAAATTCTACAGTAAAAGGAATGAGGGAGACAGAAAATATTTGAAAAATGAAATGAAAGTGAATAACTTCAAATGTATTTCTGTAGCAGTTATTAACAGTAACAATGTTGAAGGTCAGTTCCCAGTGCACCATGATAAGAACTGTGCCACTGTGGATAGCAAGTTAAATCTTGATTTAAAGGGGGGGTCATCATAAGAAAAATACCCAGAACAGGAAGTAAAAACTAATCAAAACTGATATCAATTACAGATAAGGGTTCAAAAACTTTAGTGTAAAAATAATGGCGTTAGTCATCATAACTTGTTATTTATACTGGTAACCATCAGCTTCCAACACCATTATTATGTGCTTCTCCCACTAGAGGGCAGTGTACATTTCCTGTGAATCTTGACCACTGTGTTCCTGTCCAGTTTCTAAATAACACAGACCTGTTTGTTATTAAAATAAAATCCTTAAAAATATGGGTATTGCTCCATATTGGATATTTCTCCCCTGACTACTTAACAAGCTCAATCAAACCAATATGCTTTATCATTAGTCATCACCCAATTCCTTCAACATATTTAGCTTCCCAATGACAAAATATGACTAATCTTTGAAATCCCTCAAAAGAAACAATGGAGGGAAGGAAGGAAGTTAGAAGGTGACATGGCAAGGCTTCATAAATGTGACTGGAGGGCAGCAGGAAGTAGAGGAAAGGCACTAGAGGCACACAGAGATAAAACAGGACGAGGAATCACAGTTCAGCTTCCAAAAGTGATGTGACATATATTAAATGATAACAGTGTAATCTTTTAAGCCAACTACACTACATATCATCTGGACAAACAGTCCCAGCACTATCTATTATGATCTATTAGGGTATTTCTTGGTGCTTACAATTGTCCTTTAATCACGTGTCCCTATTCTCGCTGATGCTTCACCCCAGCACCTCCCCCCGCTAAAGCATGCTGGGCCTTTCTAATGAAGACAGATCAAAATCCTAAAGTTGAGGATTTACAACTTTCTTTTAAAAATTAGTCATTATTGTGATATTTTTTTTTTTACCTTCTCTCAGTCTCTGGAGTGGAGGTGGTACTGCTGAGTCCAAGGGATTCCTTAAGGAGATGAAAAAGGGAGTTTTGACATCAACCATTTTCAAAAGGTAAAAGGTAAATAAAATATGTAATTTTCCTTCAAAGAAAGCACAAAAAATATCTTATAGTATCTTCTACAGACTAAATCAACTGTAAATAAAGGGTAACAAAAGATGAATTTGAGGTGTTTAATTATAAGTTAATATCTATCTTGTAATTTGGTGACAACAAAAACCCACATGTGCCACTGGTCACATTTTACCATATTTTACAGACACTGGACGACAGTCTCAAGGCCAGCTCTCTGCATCACATCAGTCAAAAGCTACTTTTTAGTCTCCTGCTTTAAATCTGCTCGGGATAATAATGACATGGCAATTCCATGGCCTCTTATCAGCCTGTCTGCTGACGTGCACAGGAGGAAGTTGCCTTCTCCTGGGGTCTGACACACTCAGAGCCGGACACTCACCTGAATCTGAGAGCGGAGCTGCAGTGATGTGGCCACTGAGTCAACCTTTCCCTGAAACACACAGGCAGGGGATGTGGAGAGTAAATTATAGTGTCATCATAACACAGAAATAGAAATAATATTCAGCTAACTCACATTGTGGGTTCGCTGGTCAACAGCTATGTGTCACCGGTTATGACCTATGTCATTTCCTCAATACTTACAGGTGTTTGAACACATCTGAGTTTCATGAGCCGATTTTGAGAAAATATTCAATTTGAAATTTTAGGATTTTTTCATTTGACATATATTAGCAAGGTAAAAAAATTGGCCAAAAACGCATGTTTTCATCTGTACTCAAAAAGCAGATTGTAGGTTACCTAAGGTTAAAAGCAAATAGTCAAAACATAACCAATCAACACCTACTGAATCGTTTAATTGATATTAAGGGGTATCTGACCGAATCTGGTCAGGCATTAAGAATAACTGTATAGAAATAGCCAATCCTCCATACAGAGGCATCAGTATTAAATTCATAACCAGTTAAAAACTTCTTGTAGTAGATTTAAACAAATATAACATGTTCATGAGTAAGTTTTAGGGATGCTCGTAGGTGGATTTTGTCACCTTTAACTAGCTGTTTCCTCCTGTTTCCAGTCTTTATGCTAAGCTAATGTCAATCTTCTGATCTGACTCTCAGCAGGAAAGTGAATGAGCGTATGTCTTGAAATGTCTAAATATTCCTTTAAATGACAGCGTGGTAAATTAGCAGGATGGCAGCCGAAAAAAAACAATAATTTTGTGCTGAGGTATTAGATTTCTTTTTTGATGAGACAAGGTCTTTACTGACAAGAAAAAGACTGATAAGACTGTTTACCATCTCTGCATCTTGCACTACTTTGCGTTTCCGTAGCTCCTCCATCCTTTCACACACGTCACTGAGGGAGGTGCCGTAATACTGAGAATACTCCTGAGCCAGGTCATCAAGGGTTCCCACCGAGCCATCCTGAAAGAGATAAAAAAAAGATAAAGAGGCATTCAAACACTCACACAGATATGACCACAGACCAAAAGAGGAAAACGACCCCATGGAGGTTGAGCAAGATGCCAAACAGCAGGCATGACAGTGTAAACGCCACTGTCATGATTAAAGCCATTGTTTCAAGCTTTAGTACGGTCACCAGCAAAACAAACAGCACAGGAAACATGGAGATAAAGCACCAGGAGCATAAAAGCATCAGAGACGTCCAGCTGTGATATTGCCCCAGTCTTCACCAGCTTGCGGTCTTCCTGCCCAGCGACCCCCATCCACCTCCTCAGACCTCCTCAGCCCTCCTCAGACCTCCTCAGACCTGACCCCCTGGCCAGAGGAAGCACCATGTGACGCAGCTACGACCCTCACTCAGCTCTCTTACAGTCATCACGAGTTGACTCAAGAGGCCACGGTTCAGTGTACCGTAAATCACAAGAAGTAGAATCACTCAAGTCAGATGAGTCTTTGTCCTGACACAGAGCTAACTCTCCTGGATGTAACCCCTTTTAGTTTCCTACAATTGTGCTACCTGAAGTTATGTGCCTTTTGGCCATGTGGAAAGAAGACAAATAAGAGATAAATCATTTCAGAGAATTTTTGCTGAGTTTCATGACCTAGAGACCTTCAAAACACAGGGGCTGGTTTCCTTGTCAGGGCATAAACCAGATAAGTCAAACTGTCTGTCAGTAAAGACACATAGGATTAACTGGTCTATTTCACTGAAGACCAGATACAAGTACAAGTAAAGTGCAGAAGCCTGAAGCTACATCTCTCTAAATGTTTATTTTCTCCAAATAATTATATTCATATGCAACAAATTTTCATCAACAAAACACATTTTGCTGTCTGGATTTTGTTTTATATCAGCATAGCAAACTATTCAGATTCATATCCAAAATGTTCAAGTTTATTCGCTTCTATAGTATATTATATTATACTGCTAAAATATGTGTGATGATTAGAGTATGATTTAACCTGCAATAATGGCTTTATTGGCCACATGGGGGCAACAGAAACAAGCTGTAAACACAACAGTGACATATTATCACCTTATAAAGTTGTTACGGCTGACATGTTAGCAAACGGTTGCCTATTTCCACATCAAGCAGACACGGAGCAACATTGTGTTTCTATCCACCTGATGACAAACGTACAAATATTTACTCCCCTTTTAGCTCTGGTTTGGTCTACACCAACTCCGGAGAAAAATTAGCTTCAAAATGCTCCACTATGTTCTCCAGCACGTCGCTAGTTGTCTCTGTGGTGCTGGGCAGGCAGTGTACAGTAGGGTTTTAGAGGTTTTTTATGAGAGCAGCGAGACGGTAAAGTTTTGGCCTGGAAAACCAAACAGTTCAGTTGAAAGACACTGAGGGAAACTGCAGGGTTGGGTGATAATTATCTGTGGGTTTGTCACCACAAGTGACCCCTTTCACATGCAAGAAGTCAGGTGATTTGTGGTTAATATGGAAACATTGATTACCACCGCTTTTAACTTCTAAACAAATATGTTTATTATTCTCTAGGTGTGCAGGAGCTGAATTAGTTTGGGGAAAAGACAATATCAATTCTACAAAATAATATCAAATTACTCATTTTTATTCTAGACGTTGCCTCTTTCATTACTATTTTCTGCTGCTGTGTGAATTAACAGAGTTCTAACATAGACTGCAAGGCAATGAAACAGCTTGAGTCTTTCATGACTTATACAAACAGCTAAAGATAATACAACAAAGAAAAACATAAAATGATTATATTGTGCGTAATACAAGATGTAATAAGATAGTTCCCCATCATGAGTTAAGACTGGACAGACGAATAAAAGCTGTGTCTGATCAGTAACAGCCACCCAGTATGTCCATAAATTGTTTCGCACATTATTATTATTACGCTTCACTCATGCCATACCCTGAAGGTATGCAAATGTGCTTGCTGAAAACAGCCCTCTGCAGTGAAAAGTAATACTGTGGGCTCACTTGTCTCGTGGCATGATAGACTGTGACTGGCTCAACTGTCCAGAAAAGAGGGCCATTCATTTGGTAAATGACATGGCCCCAGGGTCGAGAACGGCCTGAAAATCTGGCTGCTTTTCATACAGTCAAGAAACGAAGCTGAGGCTGACTGAGAAGCTCTGCACTGTGCCTGGCTGCAGCCGCTCTTGTGCCTCACACTGCCACTGAGCCACATAAACAGCCTATTGTCACACAAGCACATGATATTGCCCTGAGTGCCTATTAGACACGGTGCATGTATACATCCTCATTGCAGATGAATGTAAACACAGCTTGAGCATACGGAAAACAAACCGGCGTGAACGTTAAATCAAATAAACAATATGACTTCCATTCGCCTGCCAAAAGATTCTTAGAAAATGGGAGTTTTGGGAAAATATTCCAATGCGCTTTATATTTCCCTGTCTCCAAATTAATGGTCTTGAAGCCAAAATTGCAGCATGAGACATCAACCACAGAGGCTTGAAAAGGAGAGTGTGGTGTCACATTTCTCAAGCGCTGAGCATCTCATAGGCAGACAAAAGATCCACGTGCCCCCAGGGCCCAGAGTGTCTAATGAGTGTTTTTACAGTTCCTCTGTCTTCTCTCACCCTTTTAGGCAACCAGACCTGGGTTACAAAGTATCAGCAAATCATTTGTATCTCTTTATCCTGCTTTGAACCAGAGGTCAATAAACTTTTTTGACTATCAGCAGATTCAGACCATAAAGCAAAGGTTTTAATGACTGACAACTTCTTAGATACTATACATCCTGAAACCTCAAGTCAACTCCTGTTGGTTACATTAAGTTTGTTATAACCTATATTCTATTATAATCCCACATATGACTGATGTGGGCTTAGTAAAACCAAATCTACTTCATATTGATCATATTTTACATCCTTATTTTGAAAAGACGCATCCCACAATAAATAAACAACCTTATCAAATACAGTACATGTCCCTGCTACAGCCTTGTCATCCCTCTGTCAATCAATCCAACAACTTCATTTGAATCAAATGTCACAGTAAGTTCGGCAGGGAATGTCATAAACATCGCTGACAATGAAAGAGTATTGTAGATGTATTCAACCGTGTATTGAGATGTTTCAAAAGATCACGAGAACAAGCACTGACTTGTTTCAGCCCTTTTCTACTAAATGATAGTTAACGACTAACGCGGCAAACAACCTCACAAGAATAGATGCACGCACAAAGTTGTATTTTAAAACAAAGCTATATGAACTGAATTTTCCCCCAATGAATCTACAGGAAACTATCAGCTCTAACCATAGGACCACATTCCAGTGCAAACATAAAAATACACTCACCACAAACAGGCATCTGGCTGCCAACAGTAGCTACCCAGCACTGGTTGCTCTTCACTTCCACCACACTGCTGTAAGTGATCGGCTCCGCTGTGAAACTTAACTCAGTGAGTTCAGAGGAGTGGAGGACAATACATCCTGAAGTGAAGGGGAGGGGTGTCCGGCACGCATAGTTCAGGGGGAGTTTGGTTGAAGGGAGGTTGGGGGGGGGAGTTGCAACCACATGTGACGCTGGCGCTGCTGGGTGGGGCGCTCCACTCTCTCCAGCTGCGGCCCACAGGGACTGGCTGACTCACATGTTCAAATAAACCACCACCTCTTAGTGTGTGAGAGTGTGCCGACATGTTTATGTCTGCAGTGGAGTTAGAGAGATGTGTCAGGCTTAATTGGCTTTGTAAGAAATGTTAAGTATTGGTCAGATATGTCTCCCTCTGCTGATATGGAGGTTTCTCTCTGACCACAGTAAATCTGTAATGACACTTTTATGTCTTGGCACATTTTATTATACATATTCAATTGTGTTTATTTTTTATGAATTGTTCATTTAAAAAGGTACCTTGCAGGGTTTTCTTGTACACCACCAAATAATATGTTTACATTTTGTGTTTGTGTTGTATGTCTCCTTGATATCTAACAAACATGTTGTCAAGCGTATGTGTGTGGGGACCCACATGTAAAAACACTGTTCCATGGCTCCACTAGTGATTAAAAAGTTTTCCTACCACTGAATACTTGTGGATGGTCATCCTGATTCCTGCTACAGATGTCTGCTAACCTACTCACTTACTTCGTTTAGCATTTAAAATGGATCTCTATCAATGAATGAAAAAAAAAAAAAAGCATTAGTACATGACTTGATGTACATCATATATGTGACACAAATAACACAAATACAAAAGAGGATCCTGGTAGAAGGAGAAAAAAGTAAATACTAAACACTGGCAACAAGGTGAATTTACACTGTAACTGACATAAAGGGCTTACTCGCTCCTATCTTGTTCCCAACTTTCATAAAAGCTAATATTAACATAAAAATAGAATATTACAAACAAGCAGGTCTATCGTATAATCCAAACAAACATGCTTAAATATTAATCAGGTTTTAGGTACCTTAAAGTATTTTTGAACACTAGCAGTCTGTGTTCCAGCAGGTGGCAGCAAATAGTTACTCTATCAATGGCACATCAGTAAGTGACTGAAAGAAGTTGACGTAGAGAGCTGAAGCTATTGATGGTGCTTTGAAAAGCCAAGTTAATTGGGCAGATTAAAGTTTCCTCGAAACCCAAACAAAGTGTAGGGACGTCAACATTCTCACTGCACTAATAAACTACTAAATATTAGAGTGAACTTGCAATTGAGCCTTCCAATAGAAGATCAGGAGGAAGCAGCAACATAATGTTCCTTGTCTGCTCACGCCTGTAGTGCGTTTACACATCAACAAAGGCATCTTTAAGTATCGTGGTGACCTTGTTTGCTTGTAGTATTAGTGTATGAGATTAAGAGAGGAGAGATAACCCCTCAGTGTCTTTGTCTAATCGTGACCCTACTGCCTCTAATCTTCATCTTCAGTAACTGACCACTGACTTCAGAGCAGTGAGCAGCATCAGCAGGAGGTAACAATACCAGTGTGAGATCTGCAGCAGGAGGCTGCAGATTA